AACATTAGATAGGGAATCATCACTTACTTCCTAGTGTCCTTTTAGGATTATTTTGGATTCTCACCAAAACAACAGTAATAAAACTATCAAGCAACCCACTACATGAGTCAGTCATTTGAGATCAATTATTTTTGGTACTCATTTACAAAAACCTGAATTCATTTTGATTACATAAGAAATTAACCCTTAAACGGTCCAAACGTATATATATGCTCACCTGCACAGCGCCCCGAATATTTTGAGAAAAAAAAAATTATAGGAAAAAAGAGCATGTGGTACCCAGGCATCCCCAATTTTTTTCATATGGCACACACTGAGTGCGCACACCCATTCTCTCATGTCTAGGCGACTCAGGCCTACTGTGCCAATGTTGAATGAATGACAAATGAAATGTGCACATACATTTGGGGCCCTATGCAAGAGAACGTATATATACGTTTGGACCGTTTAAGGGTTAAATAAGACTAAAAGTGAGGAAATAATAAGTAAAAAACAAAACTTTAAAAAACACTAAAATAGACATAACAATGGCAAGAATTGTACTTGTGCAGGGTTGCTGGACTAGCATCCTTATTTATTATGAGTATGCAAAACCCAGTTCAAAAACCGGAACCAGACACACACACAGTTTGAGGTGGATTGTGAAAGATGACCACCACATCCTCCTGGTACTTGGGCACTTATGGTAGGATACAGCCCTTCATGATCACTCTTCTTCATGACTGATATTTATGGGACTGGAGGGTTCCCAGCCCTGAGTGCACCCTGGTCAAAAGAATCAAGTTCTGGGAAATACTAAGGGCTACCTAGCACTTGGACACCTATCTCAATCACTTTTAGATATTGATTCAGCTTCTTGCTGTGATCTAACACAGCCAAGTGGAACCTGGCATTTCTCTGTTGTAATTCATGTGTTTTAGAGCTTCCCACTGTAACTCAAAACCCAGGAATGTAAATGGAAGAATATCAATAGCTTATATAGTAGGTAATAATATACAAACAATAACATCATGACATGTCAATGATAAAGAAAATTACTTAAAAATGCACAAGAAATTTTAGCTATGATATGAAGTCAATAAATAGGCAAAGATAAACAGCTTATGCCAGAAAAATTCTACAGTGGGCATCTCAAGCCATTTTAATGTTTGTCTAAATCAAAATGTTACTACTTATCTATGCCTACAAACATTATTTTTTTTTAATTCATCAGCCATCTCCCACCAAGACAGGAAAAATATTAGAGTACATTTATAATATATATTGGTCATTACAACTGTCACTGTGCAGGATGGTAATCATGTTTCATAAATTCACATAAATATACAGTGGACCCCCGGTTAACGATATTTTTTCACTCCGTAAGTATGTTCAGGTGCCAGTACTGACCGAATTTATTCCCATAAGGAATATTGTGAAGTAGATTATTCCTTTCAGACCCCCAAACATACACGTACAAACGCACTTACATAAATACACTTACATAATTGGTCGCATTCGGAGGTAATCGTTATGCGGGGGTCCACTGTATTGAATAACAATTCTTTTGTCAAGTGCAGAAAATATCTTATTATAATAACTAATGTTTACTTTTATTTACTGTAGTAATATCAAATAAAACTGCATTAAATTAATCAGTTATAATGGTCTGAACGAATTTCTAAAAATAACCTTTAAGCTACTTACTCTTCGAGCAATAAATATTCATATTAAACAACACAGTTCAAGAATAAATAAATGAGCAGGAGCAGTGAGTGCACATGGTATCATGAATGATGTTCAGGAGAGTACATGGGTATCATGATGTTCAGGAGTGTACATGGGTATCATGATGTTCAGGAGTGTACATGGGTATCATGATGTTCAGGAGTGTACATGGGTATCATGATGTTCAGGAGTGTACATGGGTATCATGATGTTCAGGAGTGTACATGGGTATCATGATGTTCAGGAGTGTACATGGGTATCATGATGTTCAGGAGTGTACATGGGTATCATGATGTTCAGGAGTGTACTTGTGTACTCATCATTTCCAGGGAATTGTAGACCTGGCCTCAGAAGTGGCAGGCAGTAAATCATAACCAAAATAAAAGGTTAGAAGATGTAAAAAAAAAATAACCTGACAGAGTTATAAAGCCAAACTAAGAAAGATGTTTGTGGAGGACTCGGAGGAAGTGACAAAGCAAGAGGAACAAGGATCACTGGATATTATGCCAGACAAAGTGGAAGGAACAAGGATGGCTGGATATTATGTCAAAGTGGGAAGAACGAGGATGATGGATATTATGTCAGACTTTCAAAACACAATTTCAGGTCATGTTTGTGTTCGTTATCTCGTCTGTCAGGGATATCGAGTCTAAAACCTTCCCCCCATTAGTTTCATGTACACTACACCACTACAGAATATTTTATACTGGTACAAAAATTCTACATTTATAGTCTACAAGGTTCAATTTTAATGTAGTTTTTATATGTCATCTTTATATTTACAATTTTGCTGGAAACAGAAGGATTATCATTATATTTAAGGAAAATACGGACCCCCTTAAGTGTCAATCAGTACTATACAGCAGAGGTGAGAGAGAGAGGGTCAAAGAAATGAGGGGTGGTGAAGAGAGGTCACCGGCAGTAATAGAGTGGCACAGTCAATTTGCAAATCAATGTCAGTTAAAAATCATTAGGCAAGTCCATTAGAGGTAGAGCAGTCAAAGGTGAAGGCAGACAGTCAGCATGTAAAGGCATTGAAGGGGGTGTCCAAAATCAAGCTAGCACCCTAAAAGCATTGAAGGGGGTGTCCGAAATGAAGCTAGCACCCTAAAAGCATTGAAGGGGGTGTCCAAAATCAAGCTAGCACCCTAAAAGCATTGAAGGGGGTGTCCGAAATAAAGCTAGCACCCTAAAAATACTGAAGGGGCATCCAAAATTAAGGTAACACCCTAAAAGAATTGAAGGGGGATCTCTGAAATGAAGCTAGCATCCTAAAAGCAATAAAGGGGGTGTTCAAAATGAAGATAGCATCCTCCCTGAGCTGGGAAACTGATCAAGAGATAGCGAACTATCAGAATGACTAGACAATAAGAGAGATACAAATTCCTGCAAGCTTTGATATTTATAACTCAGAAATGGAAGCAGCATGAGATGGCCCTGAATTTTTCTGTCTTGAATGTTATTTTTTTCTTGAAGATTTACTATTAGAAGTTGATGGAACAGAGATGAAGTTACAGTTTTCCCTATAGTTATCAAATTTATTTTCAAGTGAATAAACATCTTTATTCTTAAGGGAACCAACATTTTTATTCTTAAGTGACTCAACATCTTTATTGTTAAGTGAACCAGCATCTTTATTCTTGAGTGAATCAACAGTTTTATTGAAGGAACTAGCATCTTTATCCTCAAGTGAATCAACTTCATTCTCCAATGAACTGGCATCTTTATTAAGCGAATCAGCATCTTTAATAAGTGGATCATCATCTTTATCAAGTGAATTGGTAGCTTTATTAAGTGACTCAACATCTTCATTCTCTAATGAACCAGCATCTTTATTCTCTTCAAGTGAATCATTTCCATCTTCATCTGTGCTGTAAACAGAGTCCTCAGAACTTCCCTTAACTGGATAAATTGGGTACGTCAGATTGTTACTAAGATTAATACTACTACACTGAGACACCTGAGAAGAAAACAAGTTCTCCAAGTCTGCATCTTCAGTAACAGCATGAAGGCAACACGTGGACCTTAAGAGATGAGGTGCTGGCAGAGGTAGAGATGCCTCATTGGGGAACACTGATGACATGAAACTCAAATATTCCCTGTAAAAAATCACACATGGTATTTTAAGTCACTATTTTTGCCTTGGATGTTCTTTATGTACACAACAGCGTCAAAGTCAGAGATCCCAATTTAAGTACATCACTGAAGATTGAGACACTTATGCAGCATATGGGAATCTTTATTCAGGAAACGTTTCGCCACACAGTGGCTTCATCAGTCCAATACAAAGAGGAAGGCGTAAGGAGAGGAGGAGAATGAGGTAATCAGTCCCTCAACCTGGAGTCGATGTGTTCAGTCCATCAATCTTGATGGACTGATGGACTGAACACATCGACTCCAGGTTGAGGGACTGATTACCTCATTCTCCTCCTCTCCTTACGCCTTCCTCTTTGTATTGGACTGATGAAGCCACTGTGTGGCGAAACGTTTCCTGAATAAAGATTCCCATATGCTGCATAAGTGTCTCAATCTTCAACTTGTCGGTTTTTCAAACCATTCATCACAAGTACATCACTACGTCTGACTTTTTTGGATTATCCTAGGTAATTTACGCTATGTATGATAATTGTACTTATATGCCCCTGTACCTAAATAAACTTACAATACAGTGGACCCCCGCGTAACGATCACCTTCGAATGCGACCAATTATGTAAGTGTATTTATGTAAGTGCGTTTGTACGTGTATGTTTGGGGGTCTGAAATGGACTAATCTACTTCACAATATTCCTTATGGGAACAAATTCGGTCAGTACTGGCACCTGAACATACTTCTGGAGTGAAAAAATATCGTTAACCGGGGGTCCACTGTATTATTAATACTGTCACTGAGCATGAAAGCTTAGGTAGTACTCAATATATCCCTGCTGGTAAGGATTGTCACAATCTTCAAGACATTTTTTTACAGATGACCATGTAATTTTGCAATTGCAGAGACAATACAATACTAGTCTTTACCATGCAGCTGATTCTACACATTTACCACTCTTACACTGAAGATATACATCTTAATATCCCTGTGGCTCATTTGTGAGCATATTCTCTAGCTATACTTCCTTGTTCCATTGCATCCCTGGTACACAACTCATTTATTAATTAGTAATCAATTAATTATTGCCTTATTAATCTTAAGACAGCTTAAGTTTGCCTGAAATGCTCTACATACAAAGGGGCTTTCTGCATGCACACCTGTCACCTACCTCTGTACAAACATTGTATCATGGTGAAATAAATAATCTCTAATCTTTAATTCCTATTGGTGTCTATGTAATGCTTCCATGTACATTACTGTATTTACTACTGTATTTAAGATTCAAAGCTTCGGAAATACGTTATATGGAAGACTGAAAAAAAATATCGAAAACCACAAACAAATTCATTAAATTATTAAATTTGAAAACCAAAAACAAATTATAATATTACTATGGAAAACTAGATGTATGACAATAATGAACTCAAGAAAAACAAGTATAAAGGATAGAGAACTACATAACTGCACTACTTTTGAATGGCAGATACATAGTTGGAAAGTCATGAAAAGAGTAGGTAGTCATAACCACAGAAAATTACACACAAAAAAGGATAAATTAAAAAGATGAGGTACTACAAACACAGGCCTATTAGAACAAGGAACAAACAGGTACTGTACTGTAATTACAAATTAATTGGTAACTGCACAAAATATGGTAATAAATCACTGAACTTACCAGTACTCAACTTCCAGTTTCTCAACTAAAGTTTCTAGTGGTGAGTCTCTGTCAACATGGTTGATGCCTGGGTTACCTAGTACATCAGGTTGATAACAGCAAGGACTCAGGTCATAAAAGACTAACCGGCAGAGTGGGCAAGACATTTCGAGTAAAGTTAGGCTCAACAGAGACACTGCTGTTGGCTTCACACTGTGATAATAGTGGTATTGACACAAACTGGAATTTCCAGTCTCCTGAACAATATCATCTACACCTCTGGAGGACAGTCTTAGGTTTGCTCGAAGGTAACAAAGGTGGCTACCAAAACAAGATGAAGCCAATTTATATGATCTTGCATGTGGCTTCATTATTTTCAATTTTGATACCCGAGAAATCTGAGAACTAACATTTCCCGAGACATAAGTTTCATTCATATGTTCAAGGAAGTTTAGAGAGTGACCTTCATTATTGCTCTCATTATTACAAGCCTCAGAGATTTCAAGAGTTTCTAAACAATGTATACCATTGCTATTCTGTGTTCTAGGATGCAAATGTTTTGCAGAGCAACCACGTAAGTTTTTTCCTGTATTATGATCACCCGAGTGAAGATTCGCTGGAGAAACAGATTGAGAATTGTATCCATCACAAGCCTTTTCAATCTGCCGGCATGTACTACCATGCTGTTCTTCTACACATGCCTGATTATTAAACGCCTTAAGCAGATTCTTTCGACACACTGTCCTTCCAACGTATTTCTTAAAGCATTTTTTACTTTGCTTTTTCCTATTATGCTTCAGCAATGAATCCAAATTTCCTAAATATGGCCGAGTTGATAATACAGAGCCGTCTACTGTTAGTAAATCTGTCTCATGTGGAGATATTGTGAAAAATTGAGAATTAATTAAATAAGAATTATTAGGATGGTGTGGAAAAAGCTTAAAACATCTTAATTCCAACAATGTATTTTCTGTATTAAGAGCAGCTGGTAAAGGTATAAGAGCAGTTTTCTTGTCATCTTCCTTTCTCCGAGCTCTAGATTCTTTCAGATCTGATATACTCGTTTGTGTCTCCTTATTGCTTGCATACATAAACCTCGATGAAGTGTCACATGATTGTTGATGAATAGTTTGATTCTGTGGTGTATTAAGATCCTCAGCCTTGTTCCTCCTTCCACTGCTCCTGAAAGTACTAAAACTGGGAGTGTGTGTATCACTCTTATCCAAACTTTTCATATTTACAGATACAACATTATCCTTATGAACACTTTTAGAATTCACTGAGGTCTCACTGGCATGATTCTGTTTATTGGCACTATTTTCAATTTCTTTGTCATGTAAACTTTCATGTACAGAATCAAGTACTTTCTCTTGATTATACTTGTGCTGTTGTGTAGTTTTGTCACCGTTCTTGTTAATATTTTTGCAAGTATATGTATTATATTCAGTACTACATGCAGTAGTGTAGCTAGAATCATCAGAGATACCCAGAGATTCATTACCATCAGAGGTCATTACACCATGCTCTTCACAATATGTGAACTGCTCCTTTCTCTGATTTTTCTTTTCTGATAAACCCAGCATATAAGTTTGATTGGGTGAAGTCATCACCAAACCACCTTTGCATCCCTCCTGTGACTGTGCTCCACTTCCAGAGTCTATACAATTCAGTTTCAAATCAGCTTTATCTTGAAGGTCAGAAAGTGAGAGTTTACAAAGGTTATTATGTCTTATCTGACATGCATCTTGTATACCATCATAAAGATTCTCATCTGACTCTGAGGGCTGTGAATTTTTCCCATTAGAGTTGCCAGAGCTAATACCATCCACAGCATTTGTTGATGCGGATATGGAAGAAGCATTTTGAAGATTTATATTTTTCTCTACAGGAAATGATTCTACATCTGCAAGCTCAGTGCTACTAAATTCATTACATAAACTACTATCATCAAAAGCAGAGTTTTGTTCATTACATTCAATGTTCTCTTGTGTGGCATCAGTAACTGTCCTTGTGTGTGTCAGTGACAGCATCTTACATCCAATACCAGCATTTGCACTGTTTTCTTCAGAAAATTCATAAGGATCCAATACTTTGTGATTTACAATTGAGGATGTTCCAACACCTTTCCCTTGTTGACTGGAAGGTTCATGATTCTTTCTACCACCTCGAGGTTGTAATTCATCTTTCTGTACATTATAAACTTTCAGTTTATTTATCTTTTGCCTTTTTCTTACACATTTCTTTATATTTGTACTAAAACTATGATTCCAAGATTTCTTGAATGTTTTATAAATTTTGTTTTTATCTCCTTTATTGATCTCTCTACCACCTTTATTAGAAGAGTCTCCATGTGACGTACCTCCCTTGAGTGCACTAAAGGACTTCTCAATGGTTACTCCGAGTGGTAAGTAAATCTTGCAATATGGGTTACCTGGGTTTTGAAGCTTCCTTTTATTAGCTTCAACTACTTGAGTGAGATGAGTATTCCTCTGCATCACTACAAAGAAAATTGAATAAGATACACAAAAAGCACATGTACATTTATATGAACTCAAATTAAATTGTAATAAATAACTGTCAATAAATAAAGAGAAGGATGGATGAGGGGTTCGAACTACTACTTTCAACAAACCAGCTGTATCCCACCGAGACAGGGTGGTCCAAAAGAAAAAATGAAAGTTTCTCCTTTTAAATTTAGTAATTTGCACAGGAAAAGGGGTTAATAGCCCTTTGCTATCGGCATTTTAGTTACCTCAGGGGCTCGAACTGCGGTCCTTAAATTGACAGGCTGATGCTCTACCATCTCGACTGCCTGGCAGTTGAAACGGTATAGCAGAGGTTGGCGACCTTTTTAGGGTATTACCCCAAAACACATTTGTGTACAGAGAAATTACCCATTAGACTAAAAATTATTTGTTTGAAAAAATATAACTTTCATAATTTGCCTTGCTTATTAACTAATAAATTTTTGTGCAATTTTATTTACATTTTTACTGAGCCTTCATTACTCCCGAGATTTTAATTTTTACCCCATCTGGGGTTTTTTACCCCATCTGGGGTAATTTACCCCATCTGGGGTAATTTACCCCATCTGGGGTAATTTACCCCGATTCCCTGACCTCTGCAGTAGAGCACTGGACTGTCAATTTATGGACCGCAGTTCAAGACCCTCGTCCACCCTTCTGTTTATCCGTACATTTGCATTTTCAACATTTAGCAAAGAAGAACTTGGAAACTTAAATCAGCCAGAGAGAAACTTAGCAAGGAAACTGAAACAGAATGTATATACATACAGGGAATATACAAGTAAAACGAAGGAAAAGTATAACACTAATATTATGTATTCCTATTGTTAACTTCATATTAATAAATTAGCAATTTTAAAAAAGTTTCACCATCCAAGAAACATATTATAATTGAAGACATTCAGGTCTGATCTGAAGGCAAAGCACAGATAATCAAGTTTGAACTGAAGGCAAACCATATATAATAAAGTTTGAACTGAAGGCAAACCATAGATAATTAAGTCTGATCTAAAAGGAAATCACAGATAATAATGTTTGATCTGAACGTAAATTCCAGTTCTTTGAGTCCTTCACTGACATCATGGCTCCCACCTTGAAGGGTTGACTGAGACCAAACTTAAAATCTGAAGGTCCTTTGAGACAGAACCACAAAATGAATTTTGTCTGATACTGATGTAGATCAAAACTGACACTTGTACAACAGTTTAACAATAAATAATTCTTACCTTTTCTTTTTGTGGAAGGAGACATTCTGAATATTTTATTCATGTCTGCATTTCCATCCAGTTTCAGAGATTTTCTTTCGATATAATTGTTTAATTTTTTCCGACAATTGTGTGCCTTCCCATCTGGCGTATACACCTACAAGAAGAAAGGATTTTTAACATATATTTTGACTAGACATCTACCCTTAAATATACTTCAACTATTATAGTAAACCCATAAAAATTTTACAACTGTACAAGTTTTTATTTTCTGAAGTATACAGAAATGTAGTATACATTTTTTTTTAATGAGCCAGCTGTATCCCACCAAGGTAGGGTGACCTAAAAAGAAAAATGAAAGTTTCTCTTTTTAAATTTAGTAACGTATACAGGAGAAGGGGTTACTTGCTCCCAGCATTTTAGTCGTCTTTTATGACACACATGGCTTATGGAGGAAGAATTCATTTGTAGTTTACATGTAATAAAATACTGCTAAGCACAAAAGAAAGCCACTAGCATTCTGTGCATTTTGGGCATACTAATCCTAATGCTTACCAAAGACTACTTAAGAACTAAAGAGTCTTTTAGCATTAAGTAGTCTTAGTCTACAGATTCTTCTCCATTTGCCCATGGAGAAAGCCACGGAGATATCAGGAAATATTTCCTCAGCTTCAAGGTGGTCAGGAAGCAGAATAACATGAAGTGATGGAGGCAAAGTACAAATGCAGCTTGAAGAATAAGTATGATATGGTTCACAAGACTGGCTAGGAAGTATTGTACAGGTTGTCAAGTGTGGCTCAGGAGCTGGAGCTTTATCCCCAAAACCACAGGTGGAGTACAAAACTACAGGTGGAGGAGCACAAAACCACAGGTGGAGTACAAAGCCACAGGTGGAGGAGCACAAAATCACAGATGGAGGAGCACAAAACCACAGGTGGAGGAGCACAAAACCACAGGTGGAGGAGTACAAAACCACAGGTGGAGGAGCACAAAACCACAGGTGGAGGAGTACAAAACCACAGGTGGAGGAGTACAAAACCACAGGTGGAGGAGTACAAAACCACAGGTGGAGGAGTACAAAACCACAGGTGGAGGAGTACAAAACCACAGGTGGAGGAGCACAAAACCACAGATGGAGGAGTACAAAACCACAGGTGGAGGAGCACAAAACCACAGATGGAGGAGCACAAAACCACAGGTGGAGGAGCACAAAACCACAGGTGGAGTACAAAACCACAGGTGGAGGAGTACAAAACCACAGATGGAGGAGCACAAAACCACAGGTGGAGGAGCACAAAACCACAGGTGGAGTACAAAACCACAGGTGGAGGAGTACAAAACCACAGATGGAGGAGCACAAAACCACAGATGGAGGAGCACAAAACCACAGGTGGAGGAGTACAAAACCACAGGTGGAGGAGCACAAAACCACAGGTGGAGGAGTACAAAACCACAGGTGGAGGAGCACAAAACCACAGGTGGAGGAGCACAAAACCACAGATGGAGGAGCACAAAACCACAGGTGGAGGAGTACAAAACCACAGGTGGAGGAGTACAAAACCACAGGTGGAGGAGCACAAAACCACAGGTGGAGGAGCACAAAACCACAGATGGAGGAGCACAAAACCACAGGTGGAGGAGTACAAAACCACAGATGGAGGAGCACAAAACCACAGGTGGAGGAGCACAAAACCACAGATGGAGGAGCACAAAACCACAGGTGGAGGAGCACAAAACCACAGGTGGAGGAGCACAAAACCACAGATGGAGGAGCACAAAACCACAGGTGGAGGAGTACAAAACCACAGGTGGAGGAGCACAAAACCACAGATGGAGGAGCACAAAACCACAGGTGGAGGAGTACAAAACCACAGGTGGAGGAGTACAAAACCACAGGTGGAGGAGCACAAAACCACAGATGGAGGAGCACAAAACCACAGATGGAGGAGCACAAAACCACAGGTGGAGGAGCACAAAACCACAGGTGGAGTACAAAACCACAGGTGGAGGAGCACAAAACCACAGGTGGAGGAGCACAAAACCACAGGTGGAGGAGCACAAAACCACAGATGGAGGAGCACAAAACCACAGATGGAGGAGCACAAAACCACAGGTGGAGGAGCACAAAACCACAGATGGAGGAGCACAAAACCACAGGTGGAGGAGCACAAAACCACAGATGGAGGAGCACAAAACCACAGGTGGAGGAGCACAAAACCACAGGTGGAGTACAAAACCACAGGTGGAGGAGCACAAAACCACAGGTGGAGGAGTACAAAACCACAGGTGGAGGAGCACAAAACCACAGATGGAGGAGCACAAAACCACAGATGGAGGAGCACAAAACCACAGGTGGAGGAGTACAAAACCACAGGTGGAGGAGCACAAAACCACAGATGGAGGAGCACAAAACCACAGGTGGAGGAGCACAAAACCACAGGTGGAGTACAAAACCACAGGTGGAGGAGCACAAAACCACAGATGGAGGAGCACAAAACCACAGGTGGAGGAGCACAAAACCACAGGTGGAGTACAAAACCACAGGTGGAGGAGCACAAAACCACAGATGGAGGAGCACAAAACCACAGGTGGAGGAGCACAAAACCACAGATGGAGGAGCACAAAACCACAGATGGAGGAGCACAAAACCACAGGTGGAGGAGCACAAAACCACAGATGGAGGAGCACAAAACCACAGGTGGAGGAGCACAAAACCACAGATGGAGGAGCACAAAACCACAGGTGGAGGAGCACAAAACCACAGGTGGAGTACAAAACCACAGGTGGAGGAGCACAAAACCACAGATGGAGGAGCACAAAACCACAGGTGGAGGAGTACAAAACCACAGGTGGAGGAGCACAAAACCACAGATGGAGGAGCACAAAACCACAGATGGAGGAGCACAAAACCACAGGTGGAGGAGTACAAAACCACAGGTGGAGGAGCACAAAACCACAGATGGAGGAGCACAAAACCACAGGTGGAGGAGCACAAAACCACAGGTGGAGTACAAAACCACAGGTGGAGGAGCACAAAACCACAGATGGAGGAGCACAAAACCACAGGTGGAGGAGCACAAAACCACAGGTGGAGTACAAAACCCAGGTGGAGGAGCACAAAACCACAGATGGAGGAGCACAAAACCACAGGTGGAGGAGCACAAAACCACAGATGGAGGAGCACAAAACCACAGATGGAGGAGCACAAAACCACAGGTGGAGGAGCCACAAAACCACAGATGGAGGAGCACAAAACCACAGGTGGAGGACACAAAACCACAGATGGAGGAGCACAAAACCACAGGTGGAGGAGCACAAAACCACAGATGGAGGAGCACAAAACCACAGATGGAGGAGCACAAAACCACAGATGGAGGAGCACAAAACCACAGGTGGAGGAGCACAAAACCACAGATGGAGGAGCACAAAACCACAGGTGGAGTACAAAACCACAGGTGGAGTACAAAACCACAGGTGGAGGAGCACAAAACCACAGATGGAGGAGCACAAAACCACAGATGGAGGAGCACAAAACCACAGGTGGAGGAGCACAAAACCACAGGTGGAGGAGCACAAAACCACAGGTGGAGGAGCACAAAACCACAGGTGGAGGAGCACAAAACCACAGGTGGAGTACAAAGCCACAGGTGGAGGAGCACAAAACCATAAGTGGAGTACAAAGCCACAGATGGAGGAGCACAAAACCACAGGTGGAGGAGCACAAAACCACAGGTGGAGGAGCACAAAACCACAGATGGAGGAGCACAAAACCACAGGTGGAGGAGCACAAAACCACAGGTGGAGTACAAAGCCACAGGTGGAGGAGCACAAAACCACAGGTGGAGGAGCACAAAACCATAAGTGGAGTACAAAGCCACAGATGGAGGAGCACAAAACCATAAGTGGAGTACAAAGCCACAGATGGAGGAGCACAAAACCACAGGTGGAGGAGCACAAAACCACAGGTGGAGGAGCACAAAACCACAGGTGGAGGAGCACAAAACCACAGGTGGAGGGGTACAAAACCACAGGTGGAGGAGCACAAAACCACAGGTGGAGTACAAAGCCACAGATGGAGGAGCACAAAACCACAGGTGGAGGAGCACAAAACCACAGGTGGAGTACAAAGCCACAGATGGAGGAGCACAAAACCACAGGTGGAGGAGCAAAAAACCCACAGGTGGAGGAGCACAAAACCACAGGTGGAGGAGCACAAAACCACAGGTGGAGTACAAAGCCACAGGTGGAGGAGCACAAAACCACAGATGGAGGAGCACAAAACCACAGGTGGAGGAGCACAAAACCACAGATGGAGGAGCACAAAACCACAGGTGGAGTACAAAGCCACAGGTGGAGGAGCACAAAACCACAGGTGGAGGAGCACAAAACCACAGGTGGAGGAGCACAAAACCACAGGTGGAGGAGCACAAAACCACAGGTGGAGGAGCACAAAACCACAGGTGGAGTACAAAGCCACAGGTGGAGGAGCACAAAACCACAGGTGGAGGAGCACAAAACCACAGGTGGAGGAGCACAAAACCACAGGTGGAGGAGCACAAAACCACAGGTGGAGTACAAAACCACAGGTGGAGGAGAAACAAAACCACAGATGGAGGAGCACAAAACCACAGGTGGAGGAGACACAAAACCACAGGTGGAGGAGCACAAAACCACAGGTGGAGGAGCACAAAACCACAGGTGGAGTACAAAACCACAGGTGGAGGAGCACAAAACCACAGGTGGAGGAGCACAAAACCACAGGTGGAGTACAAAACCACAGGTGGAGGAGCACAAAACCACAGATGGAGGAGCACAAAACCACAGGTGGAGGAGCACAAAACCACAGGTGGAGTACAAAGCCACAGGTGGAGGAGCACAAAACCACAGGTGGAGGAGCACAAAACCACAGGTGGAGGAGCACAAAACCACAGGTGGAGGGGTACAAAACCACAGGTGGAGGAGCACAAAACCACAGGTGGAGTACAAAGCCACAGGTGGAGGAGCACAAAACCACAGGTGGAGGAGCACAAAACCACAGGTGGAGGAGCACAAAACCACAGGTGGAGGGGTACAAAACCACAGGTGGAGGAGCACAAAACCATAAGTGGAGTACAAAGCCACAGGTGGAGGAGCACAAAACCATAAGTGGAGTACAAAGCCACAGGTGGAGGAGCACAAAACCACAGGTGGAGGAGCACAAAACCACAGGTGGAGGAGCACAAAACCACAGGTGGAGTACAAAACCACAGGTGGAGTAGTACAAAACCACAGGTGAAGTAGTACAAGAAAGTACAACTTCAACTATCCACACAAACAAAAATATTAAAAATAATTTCTTTGTCCTCACATAAACATCAGTCTTGATGCACAGTTTGTTGGATGTTTTGGAAAGTCGAGGTACAATGATGCGCTTAAAGCCTTCTGGAACATGACATCTGTCCTCCACCGGCACTCCTGAAAGCAAATAAATAACCAATTTTAATAATTATTATTATAATCAAAAGAAGTGCTAAACTATGAGGGGTCATGTTTACTTTATGCTTTTGATCACCAGAAGTGTTTGAGATTTTTTTTTCAACAACCTGGCCATATCCCACTGAGGCGGGGTGACCTAAAAAGAAAAACGAAAGTTTCTCTTTTTAGATTTATTAACATATACAGGAGAAGAGGTTACTAGCCCCTTGCTTCCAGCATTTTAGTCACCTCTTACAACACACATGGCTTACCGAAGAAGAATTCTGTTCCACTTCCCCATAGAGATAAGCGGAAATAAAAAAGAACAAGAACTAGTAAGAAAATAGAAGAAAACCCAGAGGGGTGTGTGTATATGTATATGCTTGTACATGCATGTGCAGCATGTCCTAAGTGTAAGTAGAAGTAGCAAGATGTACCTGAAATCTTGCATATTTATGAGACAGAAAAAAAAAGACACCAGCAATCCTACCATCATGTAAAACAATTACAGGTTTCTATTTTACACTCACTTGGCAGGACAGTAGTACCTCCCTGGGTGGTTGCTATCTACCATCCTACTACCTAGGTTATTATTTAAATAAAGTGGTTGATAAAAAGATATTATAAGAACCCCCCACTCCATGGGGAAGTGGAACAGAATTCTTCCTCCGTAAGCCATGCGTGTCGTAAGGGGTGACTAAAATGCTGGGAGCAAGGAGCTAGTAATCCCTTCTCCTGTATATATTACTAAATTTAAAGGGAGAAACTTTCATTTTTTCCTTTTAGTCCACCCCGCCTCGGTGAGACATCGCTGGTTTGTTGAAAGAAGAAGGATCCCCCAGTGGAAATAATCACTGACTTTTTTGCATTATCCTAGGTAATTTACATGTGTTACTCTGTATGATGGTATAAACCTTGGTAATAAATACCGACAAGTTGGTTTAGAAAGACACGTAAGCAAACACTATAACATATTTATTAGAAAACGTTTCGGTCCTGGGACCTTGATCACTTCTAACATACAGAGGTAGAAAGACATTATATATATAGGCGGAGAGTGAGATGTGACGCACGTGACCTGAGGAATGTCATAAGAACATAAGAATGGAGGAACACTGTAGAAGGCCTACTGGCCCGTGCGAGGCAGGTCCTTATCAAAACAACCTCTGCCTATGATGAGGACCAGTAGACGATGAAATCATGTGACTCCTGTGTTGTTGGGTTGTTGGGTTAAGCAGCACCAACCCAACAACACAGGAGTCACATGATTTCATCGTCTACTGGTCCTCATCATAGGCAGAGGTTGTTTTGATAAGGACCTGCCTCGCACGGGCCAGTAGGCCTTCTACAGTGTTCCTCCATTCTTATGTTCTTATGACATTCCTCAGGTCACGTGCGTCACATCTCACTCTCCGCCTATATATATAATGTCTTTCTACCTCTGTATGTTAGAAGTGATCAAGGTCCCAGGACCGAAACGTTTTCTAATAAATATGTTATAGTGTTTGCTTACGTGTCTTTCTAAACCAACTCTGTATGATAATTTGTGTAACTACATTTGTGTGTACCTGTACCTGAATAAACTTAATATATTAGTCATCCTTAAAATGTAAAACTATTTTCATACTTCACCAAATATTTTCAGAAGAAATTTCTTCCATGTTCCTATAAGCTAGCAGACAGTACTCTGATAATTCTAATTTAAAATACACTAGTTCATATATATATCTGCTGTAATGCATATATTGTACAATCATTGTTACGTTTTCACACAGCATGAATATGAAAAACCAACCCATTACTTCCTTTAATATTTTTAACAATCAAAACAAAAGTTATTTACCTTTGATATTTCCACATAAAGTTGTCATGTTTTTAGAAGACGAAATGGCAGGAACAGGCTGCGTATTTTTTACTTGCATGTCTTTCACTTTGAATTTATTTGATCTTTCAGGTTTCTTGTTGTTCTTGGTTGTTCTGCACTTGTCCACAGAATTATTGCCTCTGTTTGTGCTTTTATTCTTTAACTGTATGCTTCCCCCTTCACTGTTCTTAATTTCTTCATCTGTTTCACAATTATTGCATTTCTCAAGTGGTGACCTTTCACTGGTTGAATCAGGTGTCTTGCTGTTCTTTTTGTTGTCTGATTCTGTCTCAAAATTCACTTTTTTTTTTCCTGTGGTTAATTCTTGCATGCTTGAAGAAACAGGCAAAATGTCTGCCGAACATATTAAATGATCCGAACTAGACTTCCCAACATCAGTAGTATTGTTATCTATGTACGAGTGATCACATTCACACACAGTGCATGCAACTGAGGGTTGCACACCAAATGTATCACTTGATTTTGTCACATCCACATTCTTTGACACTGTCAGACTTCTCTCTCTCAGCTCTGGTAAGTGAAGAGAATTTTTCCGATTGCTGTTCAGCCTGTCATTGTTATTGCTTTGTATTTTATCTAGTCTACTCCCATGACAGTTTACCAGTTGTTTGAATTTTTTGTCTCCATTCTGACAACTCACAGCACTTGTGTACTCAGCACTGTCATTCTCTCCCTCGCTGCCTATATATTCACAAGAATGTAAAATGTTTTGCTTCTGACTGTCATTGACCTTTGTTAAATTTTTTGGCTTATTAATTTGAAGAGTTTTTAAACTGTTCTTTATGAATTTATTCTTACTTTTTGTTTCATTCTGAGAACTATTAATTTTGATCTTATCCTGATTATGACTATCATTCACCCATGATTGCCAACAATCATTTCTCTCAGTATTTTCTTCAATATGGTTCACTATAATACCTATGTTATGATTGTTGATGCTGTCATGAGAACCATCTTTTAAATTTACTTCAACAATGTTGGAGTTCAACTCTGCTCTACTCAAGTCTCCCCCAGTCTGCACTTCATTATTTTTACTATTATTAATACAATCAGCCAATGATTCATGTTCATCATCATCATCTGCAGCTTGAAACATATCATCACTCTCATATATTACCAACTCATTATCTATGCCAGTAGATTTATCTCTTTTCTTATCTCTCTCATTTTGCTGTGATGTCATATTTTCCTCGTTATTCACATTTTCATATATTTCACTCTGCATCTCACTCAGTTCCTTCCCTACATATACTGCATTAACATCATGACTACTTCCATCTGCAACAATATCATTTTTTAAACAAGTTTCTTGAACATTCTTACATTCATTGTGTGTGTGTTCATCACCTGCTCTCATAGCCATATTATCTCTAACACTGCTTCTAGTCATATTCCATTTCTTAATTTTCATAGGCCTCTTCTCTTTGTCACATTTTATATTTTCACATACATCATCTGTTGTATTAGGAGTTAATGAGTAACCTCCTGATAAAAATTCAATTTCTGTTTCTGAAGACAATCTCAGCCTTTTAGAACTTGTATCACTGTTTTGTGACATGTTTTTTGCTTCACCGCTTATACTGTATCTGCTGCACATTAATGCATTTTGTCTCTTCATTTTTCTGCAATCAGAATGAACAGAACTTGGTGAAAAAGAGGAGCAGCTAATCTGGGAATCGTCTTTCTCACTGCATGGAGACCTTTCATGTTTCCTGTGACTTTTGTTCACCTTTAGCCTGTTTCTTGCCAGGGTTTTGCATTCCTTTCCTGCTGTAGGTTTGAGAGATGAGGGACTAGTAGAAATTTGTTTTGGCATCCTGTCTTCAGATGAGCATAGATTGCTTGATTCAAGTATATTAGAATTTGATTCAAAGATGTCTGTGTTTGGCTCTGATATTCTTTCGACATTAGAAAGAATAGAAAAAGATCCCTGGGGTGGCTTCTCTTTATTTTGGAAATCGAAAGAATTTTCTTGTGGTATTCCAGCTGATGATTTCACCTCTTTATTTTTCTGTGGTGGAGAAGCCTCTTCAAGATCTTTAGAACATTGATTAACAGTGCTTGGTATCTGCAATACAGGAGAAATCATTGAAGTACTACAAGATTTTAATTCCAGTGTTGAGTACAGTGGCGTTTTCCACACAGAATACCCCGAAGGGTTTCTCATAAGTAATGACTCTTCTAATTCTGGATACTTCATAATACCTGTTCTTGAAGTGGCTCTAATGATAGTTTTAAGCTGATGAATAGTGCTCTTCAGAAGATTGTTAAGTGACTTAAGCTCCAGCTGTACCTCTGGGTCCTGAAATTATTTGATTTCTTAGTAAAGCACCATTCAGTGAATAGGATCACACGTAAATGGTCAACAGATTGGATAATAAAACTTAATATAAAGGAACCTAAGATTGCATGACTCACAACTGCCAACAAACCATGGAACAGGTGAGGTTTGAACTTACAGCGAGTCGTAAAAATCCAGGCCAGTGAATAAGCCACTGGTCCAGCTGGCTATAATAATATTCATCCAACTAGGTATATTTATACACCATAGGGAGGTCAGCATGGGCCAGCAGTGACCACAAAAGTGTTTGTTAAGGAAGGCACAAAAATAATGGAGAAGATGTACAAATTGTTGTTCTTAGCAGTAAAATTAATTTGCAGGAATTGAAACTGTTTTATCAATATTGTCAAAAATTAAAAAATCAAAATACCGTGAATTAGCTTTAGTTCTCGCTAAAATGATGGGCATAATAAGGGCTTTCCAAATACATATCAAAATTAAATCATAACAGTACTTCCAGATCCTTAAATTTAATAATGTACCCTACAAACAATTTTATTACAATAATAATTACATTAACAACAAAACTGCAATATCTTTAATAATAATAATAATACCACTACTACTACAACTAATACTACAACAAATACTACTGCTGCTACTACTATACTGCTATTACTACTACAGGTTGGTCATCACTAATCTGGCATCACTAATCCAGTTCCATTACTAATCCGGCACTAATTTCAGCTAGCACCTCTATTGATAGATTAATTCAGTTGACAGGTGAACTGCTGAAAAGTCTAGAGCAATGCAGTTTTACAAGGGAACAAGAAATACTGAACTTTTATATGCCGGATTAGTGATGGCTGAACTGTATCACTACTACAGGTCGACCATCACCAATCCGGCATCATTGGGACCTGTAGTGTGCTGGATTAGTGATTGCTGAACTGCACTACTACTACAGGTCGACCATCACTAATCTGGCATCATTTGGGACCTGTAGTGTGCTGGATTAGTGATTGCTGAACTGCACTACTACTACAGGTTGACCATCACTAATCCGGCATCATTGGGACCTGTAGTGTGCTGGATTAGTGATTGTTGAACTGCACTACTACTACTACAGGTTGACCATCACTAATCCAGGATCACTGAGACCTGTAGTGAGCCAGATTATTGATGGCTTACCTATACTACCATACTTACTTTACAATCAATGGGTGGTTGGTTTTGATCAGGATTCAATAGCTGAAGGCTTTCTGGGGCCATCTGGAAAAATTGAATAGAAAAAAAAAATTTACTCCCCTATGTTAAATTTCACTTTATAGTAAGTAATTTTGGAATGAAATTAAGTTTTTGAAGCCCATGTATCCATATTCCATATCACAAAATATCATAATGACATCCAGCAAACTTGGAACTCACAGACTGAAAAAGGGCGACTAGGTCAGAAGTGTTGGCACATAACCCTACGGTAGGTCAGGCAGGTATGGGTGCACCAACAAGGTGCAGCAAAAATTGTATTATGAAAATAGATTACATAACATCAAAGGTGATATGAAAAAAACCTGGAAAACTCTATCTGAAATTCTTGGAACTAAAGAGTTATCCAAAAACAAAACAATCAGACTAACAAAATCAGATGAACCCCTACTCACTCCAACCGAAACAGCAAACAGACTTAATGTTTTCTTCTCCACCATAGGAAAAAACCTAGCAAACAAAATACCAAGCACAAACACCTGTCCATCAGACTATCTCATAGGTACCTACCCAAATACACTATTCCCAGCTCCAACCAACCCCATTAAAGTTACGCTCATCATAAACACCCTTAAAAACAAGGCAGGAGACATAAACAACTTGCCTGTTTTTATGTACAAAAAAGCTTCTCAAGTATTGTCACCAATTATTGCAACGCTCTTTAACAAATCCACTGAATCATCTACCTTCCCAACAATCCTCAAAATAGCGAGGGTCACTCCGATCCATAAAGGAGGTGACCAAGCTGACTTGAATAACTATAGACCAATATCTAACTTACCACTGCTCTCTAAAATCTTTGAAAAATTAATTCATAGACGGATCTATTCCTACCTTGTTTCACACAACATATTAAACCCTTGTTAGTTTGGATTCAGGAATAATAAAAGCACAAATGATGCTATCATACACATGCTAGAACTAATATATATCGCACTTGAAAAGAAAGAAGTCCCGCTGGGCATTTTCATTGATTTACGTACAGCTTTCGATATAGTTGACCATGAACTGCTGTACTCCAAATTAATGCACTATGGTATCAGAGGCCACTCCCTCAACTACCTAAAATTATACCTTAGTAACAGAACTCAATATGTGTATGCAAATGATGCAAACTCTTCCACCCAACCAATCACAGTAGGAGTCCCACAAGGAAGCATCCTTGGACCACTCCTCTTTCTCATCTACATCAATGATCTACCGAATACATCACAGCTACTCGAACCCATAATTATTTGCAGATGGCACTACATATGTCTTTTCCCACCCAAATACAGTCATACTAGCAAACACAGTCAATGCTGAATTACTGAAAATATCTGCCTCGATGATGACTAACAAACTTACCCTGAACACTGATAAAACCTATTTCATTCAGTTTGGAAACAAAGCTGCAAATCATCCAATTAACATAACGATAAATGGATCATCAGTCACAAGACTCACAGAGGGAAAATTCCTAGGTATCCACCTTGACAGTAGCCTTAAGTTCTGGACACACATACAACAAATCACCAAGAAAATCTCCAAGACTGTAGGCATACTATCAAAGATAAGGTACTATGTTCCACAATCAGCTCTCCTGGCACTGTACCATTCACTCATATACCCTTATCTTACATATGGAATTTGTGCATGGGGATCAACAACATCCAATCACCTAAAACCCCTAATAACCCAGCAAAAGGCAGCAGTAAGAATGATAACAAATTCCCACTCCTGCCAGCATACTCCACCAATTTTCAAAAGTCTGAATTTGCTTACCATTAAGAACATCCATACTTATTCATGTGCCTACTACATACACAGAACAATACACGCAAATATAAACCATCCATTCAAACTTTTCCTCACCAACATAAACAGGACACATGACCACAACACAAGACACATCTCTTTTTGTTATACCTTGTGTCCATATCACACTGTGTAAAAACTCTATGCACAATAAATTGTGGGAAAACTCCTCATCCTTATCTGCTAGCAACATGATGGTTTTCCTCGACTGACGATGGTTTGACTTATGATATTTCAACTATACGATGGTGCAATAGCAATTACTTTCGAGATGAAACTTGAGACAATTACTCAGCATAAAGGCAGCAAGTCCGTAACTTGTATTCGTTTTTTTTTTCAACAAACCGGTCGTATCCCACCAAGGCAGGGTGGCCCAAAAAGAAAAACGAAAGTTTCTCTTATTAAATTTAGTAATTTATACAGGAGAAGGGGTTACTAGGCCCTTGCTCCTGGCATTTTAGTCGCCTCTTACAACACGCATAGCTTACGGAGGAAGAATTCTGTTCCACTTCCCCATGGAGATAAGAGGAAATAAACAAGAACAAGAACTAGAAAGAAAATAGAAGAAAACCCAGAGGGGTGTGTATATATATGTTTGTACATGTATGTGTAGTGTGACCTAAGTGTAAGTAGAAGTAGCAAGATGTACCTGAAATCTTGCATGTTCATGAGACAGAAAAAAGGACACCAACAATCTTACCATCATGTAAAACAATTACAGGATTCCATTTTACACTCACTTGGCAGGACGGTAGTACCTCCCTGGGCGGTTGCTGTCTACCAACCTACTACCCATAATTCATTTATTTATTTACAGTAATTGCTTATTTACTTGTTCGGCGACAGTAGTTATTTATTTATTTATCACATATTCATATTCGACTTATAATGGGTCTGTCAGAATGTAACCTCATTGTAAGTTGATAAGCATCTGTATACAAGAGCACATCCTAACAGGATTAGGTATTCCAGGAATACCAATGACTGTAAATTAGATACATATGCAACACTTGGGTATCAAACTCCTTCTAATCTTCACTATTTGTTGTACAGGACTGATGAAGTCACTGTGTGGCAAAACATTTCCACAATACAGATACCCAAGTGTTGCACATGTGTCTAATTTATCAACTTGTTGATTCTCTGAACCATTTATCTACACGACCACTGACAAATTCAAATTCAAAATTCAAATTTTTATTTCTCTTTATGCGGAACAATGATAATAGAGTTTACATTTAAGAAAACACAGTTAGGCACGAAAGAAAGCTACTAGTATGCAAATGCATTTTGGGAAATGTGATCCTAATGCTTAGACTATCGAAGAATTAAACAGACTATTAAGTATTAAGACTATAAAGTATAACTCGCAATTTACCAGGTAGCGACAAAGTCTTCCTCTTCATAACAGTATAACAACCAATCCTTTCTCTGGCAAAAAAGACAAATGCAGTTGAGTCCTCTGTAAAAAATTTTGCTCAATACTGAATAGCTAAAGAACTCCGCTTCATTTGTCTACCTCACTTTCACCATCATTCACACTATCACTGTCTTGCTAGACACACACATATACAACAGTTCAGAAATATGTATATACATGTATAAGATGGTAATACAGTGGTCCCTTGAGTTACAATATTAATACATTCCAGAAAACGTATTGTATCTTGGAACTAGCCTAACTCAAACCCAATAATACAAGGTTTTATTGTAGTGCATACCAAGATTCCAGAACACTTTACTTGCCATTAGATAATCTTAACTGTTAAAACACTTTTGGATTTCCGAGTAGTAAAAAAGTACAGGCTTAAGACTGAAATCTTCACAAGCAGTGGCAGAGGAGACAGGGCAAGCAGGATAAGGCAGAGAAGGCAGGGCAGACCACAGCAGGCAAGGCAGGGCAGGCCACAGCAGGCAAAGCAGGACAGACCACAACAGGCAAAGCAGGGCAGGCCAGAGCAAGCAAGGCAGGACAGGCAGGACAGGCCAGAGCAAGCAGGGCAGGACACAGTTGGGCAGGCAGGCAGAGATAGGCAGAAGACCGTTGACTTAATATTTCTACTCTTTTTGCAGTCTCCTAGAGCCCACATGTATATCTGGTACATGTAGTATGGTCTCCCTGCCTCCGTCTCCCTTCCTTGCTCCTACCTACCATTCCCTCTCCTTCCTACTCACTCCAAATATGCTCTCCACCATCACTCCATTTAAGACAGGCCAAAGAAAAATGATAGTGAAAAGCTTGAACAGGACACACAAAATTATTACAATTATTACAACCTCTATATAGAATATCTATTTAAATACATTACCTTAACCAGTTTATTCATAGGAACATTAAATAATGACTTGGTGGCTATGTTCTTAACTCTAGGTGAACCAGAACCTGGAAGAGAGAGAGAGAGAGAGAGAGAGAGAGTGAGAGAGAGAATAACTGACAGAATGGATGAGAATGCCTAATACAACCTCCTTTAAAATTAACATCTTTATCTACTACAAGTACATGTACATGGTATAAAGGCCTAGCTGACATCAATGACATACTACTATATAGAAAGCTGCTTGTTATGCTGAGTATTTCGGGCAAATTAGGTCAGTTGTGTCCCAGGATGTGACCCACAACAGATGGCTAACACTCAGGTACCCATTTTAAACTGATGGGTGAATATGGATGACAGGTGTCTTATGGAAACACATCTCTAATGCTTTCCAGCTGTACCGGAGGAGATTCAAACTCCAAACCTCACAAATAACCCACACATAGAAGAGAGGAGCTTATGACGACCTTTCGGTCTGACTTGGACAATTTACAAAGTCACACTAACCGTAATCGTAAGCTCCTCTCTTCTATGTGTAGGTTATTTGTGTATTATTCTAGTCACATTATTGTGCCTTGTTTTGTTATTTCTGAACCTCAGTGTGAGAGCTGAGTGCGCTAGCGATTGAGTTGCGGGACACCGCTTTACCACATTAAAACATTTTAGGATACTGTATAAAGCATGCAAACACCATACACTCTTGTACAACCACTTTACCATGCTGCAATTAAATACTATATTATTATTATTATTATTATTATTATTATTAATGCAATAAACACAGGTGCTGATAATTTGGTTATCACTGAGGCTCTATTCAGTCAACTTGTGTAAAAAACATGAAGACTACATACAGCAAATGGCATGTAGTACTAAGTTGAAAATCCTCAAGTCAGGACCCAGGTGATAAACCAAAATATAAAGTTAATATTTTCAATTTTATTTCTTTCATTTGGGATTTGTACCATTTACAACATTCTTTAGCTTATATTATGCTACTTCAATCTCTCTTTCCATTTTTGTAAAATGTAAATCTGCTCTTGATAATTCAAAGCATGATGGGCAGTGTTAGATATTCATGGACTTCCAAGGAGCAGGAATAAAAATGACTAAGTTTGCCTCTCATCTCATGATGTATACTGACAATTTACGAAAATTTTCCCTTCAGCCACCAGCTTCAAAAATATTATCAAAAAGCATCTCCTAAATCTGACTTAAATCCTACTCTGGCAGTTTATCTGTAAGACTGATGTATCATTAGCAAACCTGTTGATCCCAAGATTATTATTCTTATAAGCCTCCAGCCTGACCACCTCGCATTAGTATCAAGATAAAATAAAGATTTATTAAAAACTTAACCATTCTTATCTTGTCTAAACTTAAATAGTGTACTACTGATGCTCCTCACTTTACGATGGTTCCACTTACGATATTTCAACTACATGATGGTGTGACAGCGATGCACATTTAGTAGGGTACATTTATTGATAGGATATTTTTTTTTTTTAACACGTCGGTCGTCTCACACCAAGGCAGGGTGACCCAAAAAGAAAGAAAAATCCCCAAAAAGAAAATACTTCCATCATTCAACACTTTCACCTCACTCGTACATAATCGCTGTCTTCGCAGAGGCGCTTAGATACGACAGTTCAGAAGTCCCTCCAAACTGCCAATATCCCAAACCCCTCCTTTAAAGTGCAGGCATTGTACTTCCCATTCCCATTATATTCATTTATTTACTTTTCAATATTGGTATTTAGTTACAGTAATTATTTATGTATTCAGTGACAGTAATTAGTTATATTCGTATTTGACTTACGATATTTTCAATTTATGTCGAGTTTATCAGAACATAGCCCCATCATAATTCAAGGAGCACCATACTATATTGGTCCTACTCTTTAGTAATTATAGTATGTCCAATATTCTGTGCATAAGAAGGGTCTTTCTTTAAAGTAATTTATACATGTCAATTACTCAAATGTCAACTGTATACTGTACTCCACTTTATAGAAATAAAATTGCATGCAGCCAGCAGTAACAGCCTGGTTGATCAGACACTGATCCACCAGGAGGCCTGGTCACAGACCGGGCCATGGGGGCATTGACCCCTGGAACTCTCTCCAGGTAAACAAGTCTCTTTTATAGTCATGAAACAATGCATCGTTTTGGTATTTTCAAGATAAACCTTACCAAAAATTTACAAACCTAGACGCCTTCTTGACACAATTGAAGGAAGAAGTGCCAAAATTTCCAGCAGTCCCCTTTTTCTTGTTTCTCCTTCACAGCTGAGAAGCCACAGCCGGTACAACAAGATGCTCCACCACATGTCGTCCTCGCTCTCAGGGTTCACACCAGCCAGGTAATGATTCACAACTTCTCTATGGAATTAAGAATTTTGTCAATTGAAGCAATGGAACTGGCTTAAAATGGACTCAAAGTCGGTGAAATTGCCGATGCATAAATTGCGCTAAGACGAATAACTTTGTGCCTACGTAATTCCAAACGACTTCCATCAAATTTCATTTTAAATACGTCTCAGATTATATTTTAAGTATATCTCAAGATTTTATGTAAATATAAATGTATACAGTGGACCCCCGAGTTTCATGAGCCTTGTGCTTCGTGAATTTTGGCTTTCGGCAACTTTTTTCATCAAAATAAAGCCTCGCGATTCATTCGTCATATGAAACGCATCTGTGCAGCCGGGAGCAGCCAGACGTACACAAAGGCTGCCACACAACATTCAGGAGTCAGAGCGGCATTGTCTCTGGGCGAGTGACCATCACTCCACGCGTTCATACGATACATTTCATCATAATCTATTGCTTTTTGTGTTTGAAACTGCTAAATAAGCCACCATGGGCTCAAAGAAAGCCTCTAGTGCCAGCACTTGGGTAAAGAAAGTGAGAAACACAATAGTAGAGGGTGGTAGTGATGGTGGTAGTGATTGTGATGGTGGTAGAGGGTGGTAGTGATGGTGGTAGAGAGGGGTAGAGAGGGGTAGAGGGTGGTAGTGGTTGTGATGGTGGTAGAGGGTAGAGCTACAAGAGCTCTCTTTATGGAAGGGGATTCCCCTTCTAAACAATAGTGTAACTTCTCCATCCTCTCCCCTCCTCCCGTCTTCCATACACTAACAAGAGTCTTCAATAAGGTGTGATTTTATTGTTTTATTCTTGATTTCTCATTCTTTTCTGAATGTAAATCTATATTTAATCTATAAAAAAAATAATTTTTGTTAATACTTTTGGGTTTGTGGAACAGATTAATTGGATTTTCAATATGTCTTATGGGGAAAATGGTTTCGACATTCATGAATTCCGAGTTTCGGCAGACTCTCTGGAACGGATTAATCACGAAACTCGGGGGTCCACTGTATTCACATAAAATGTATATTTATATAAAATATGAAAACTACATTTCTGGTCCTGGAGGTGGACAGTGCAATGCCAGTACTCTGAAGGATGGCCGGGGCACGAAATTGTAACAGCACAACTGCAAAAAACCTTGGAACGGTTGGAGGTTTTGAACCCATGGCAAGCAAGTCCTAAAACTTCAGGCCAGTGTTTCCCCCATGGTTCAAACCCCACCCATTCTGTGGTTTGTTTATGGCTGGGAATTTTGCAGTTGGGTGGTCATTTGAACTATGATGTTTGTGCCCTACTGGGAAGACAGTCTGTGAACGGTGGAAGATAAGGAGTCTGAGGTAATCAGTCCCTCAGTTCAATGCAACACTATAAATGAAATGAGACGTTAATAAATAAATACTTAAAATGAATTCCAAACTAAGATAAATGACAATGCACAGAAAAGCAATTTTTTTTTATGCAAAGCAATTTAAAAAAATTATGTATAAATTAGCAATTAGTTAATTCATACATAAACTCCCACCTGACGATGAGGCCATACACCTGCGCTTGACATATGTACAACAGCCCTTGGCCTTCAGTGATGACTTCCCCGGCCTTCAGTGACACCATGGCCACGGCCTTGCTCTTGCCACCTGGTGACAAGACAACAGTAACATTTTCAGTCACCATACAACTCTGCGGTGCTGAATGATCTACACGAGAGCCTCGCATGTAAAGCATCTTCTTTATGGCATTTCACATTATTGCTGCCTTCAAATTAAGCGATAGTTCATTATGTTCCATGTGCTGGTGATTGTCACTGGCGGGTGGAACAATGGCTAAACTGAAAGCCAATGAAACTGTGGAACATACACCAAAAAAAAAAAAAAAGGTGCTGTACATGAGTGGTTCTCCTGTACATGGATTCACCCTTTTCATAAAACATTGTAATCTATATAACCCTCCTTAAACCAGTCTCTAGCACAGCATAGGAACAATACTAAAAAAAGTTAAATTCTGCAACTATACTAGTGGTACACCGAGTTTTGAACAGCTCCCAACTTGACCAATTATGTAAGTGTGTTATTGTAAGTGCTTTTGTCAGTGTATTTTTGGAGGTCTGAAACGGACTAATTTAATTTACAATATTCCTTATGGGAACAAATTTGTTCGGTAACGGCACTCAAACAGCCTTCTGAAACGAATTATGGCCGAAACTTGGGGTACCACTGTATTTCCAAAATTATCACCTAAATATTGTATTACAGTATTAATTGAAGGATGAAATAATTCTGATATTTGAAACATTATGTACTGAAAGCAATGCCAAAATAATACTACTTACCCAAGATATCATAAACAAGTTTGATGTCATCTGCAACAGTGTCTTCGACTATATTAACATTTTTAACACGTCTGTTGAATAAAAAATCTGTTAGACATTGAGTAAGCTATCAGTAAGTGTATGTTAATTAACCTCAACCAATATACAAGTAAAAAGTTTCCATAATCAATTTTTATCCTTAAACAAGTTCCAATAGATGAAACTTCACACTTGAACTTCTTTTATCTGAACACTTTATATTTACTCACAAGTACAGTAATTACATTAGTATTTAATTTTTTAACTAGTATATCGAGACTGCTTCCTTTTGAAATGAAATATTTTGTCTTGTACCTTGTTCCTACAACAATAAGCTTCAGGAAGTGAGTTGACACAGAAAATAGTTCCTCTTGTCTGGTTTTTAGCCAACCCTGGAAATGCATAAAAAGAATGGGATGAGAAAAAGTATACAACAGACCCCTGCTCAGGGACTATTTGTATCACATAATATGAAAATACCAAAAGAAACCTAGGGTCATTATTCCTTTGCTCAACAAATACCAGATTCTAGACTGCCATCTCCTCCCTCTTATATTTATTTATTTATTTTATATCTTTGCAAACAGTATATTGAGAATTTATATTTACAATAGTGGGTTGCAATGCAAAGAGAGCCTCTATTATGCCTAGGCATTATGGGCCAACTTAACATTATTGGCTTACAGACAAACCATACCACAGGCAGGACTGAACCCGCGGTCAGAGAGTCTCAAAACTCCAGACTCTCTGACCGCGGGTTCAATCCCGCCCGTGGTATGGTGTGTTTGCAATCGTGTCATTACGATTTCGTGAGTCATGTTGGCTTACAGACCACTTAACACTAAGTATGACTGCTTCTGTTTGCATAACAACCAAATAGTTAACATGTAATGACCTTAAATACATATATGTAATGCTTATTGACCTTTTAAATAGGTTTAGGCTTGCCCGTAATGCTCTGCATAACCATGGGCTTTCTGCATGCATTTAAGTGTCACCCATTTTTGTATAAAAAATGTATCACGCGGAAATAAACTTTGACTTTGAATGGACTATTTGGGAAACAATTGCTATTGTTCGTTGTTTCTGAAACTACTTGATCCAGGTCGTAACAACAATAATGAACAATTCAGGAAACAACAGACGTTATCTGTTGTCTGGACTTCATTCATTAAATACAAAATCCATTATATCAAAGTCCATTAAACTGAGGTTTCAACAGAGGGGATTATATCACTTGTGTCCTGCAACAACATTCAAAGTATATTTCATTTCCATGTTCTCTATGTCAGTTACAATGAGGAAACATCGATACTTTATACTGTATTTAAATGGTAAACAATTTAAATACAGAAAAGAGTGGATCTGGTCGCTTCTATGATATGGTGGCCAAGAGGTAATTCCGAAGGTCTTCAAGTTACTTGGCTATGGTGTCAACCATATCTACCTGGAGTATACCTGGAGAGTATTCTGGGGGTCAACGCCCCCATAACCTGGTCCATGACCAGGCCTCATGGTGGATCAGGGCCTGATCAACCAGGCTGTTACTGCCAACCACATGCAAACCAAAGTACAAACCACAGCCCGGCTGGTCAATGATCTCGGTATTCACAGTCATATTTATGTCACTCTTACCTTCAGTAAGTGGCTGTTACTAAGAGTTAAAAACTTGTTTAAAAATTCTCTAACTCTTCTCACTACGGCCCAACGATCACACCTCTTAATTGACTGACCCTCTTCGAAGCACGTCAGGAGCCTGTCAAAAAAAAAAAAAAAAAAATCCATAATGAAAATAAAAATGGCTTCTTAGAAATACACTAGATTTTTACAGAAAATATCTTGCTAAATGTCATTGCATTATGCTGATTACTTCCTAATTTAAGAAAATCTTTATAACAACAATTAACATAAATTCTGTACTATGAGCTTCTCAAAATTATTGTGCAGTACTGTCTCTATGTATAATGTTTTGAAAAAAGAAACTGTGTAATTTTGAATTTATAATGTCTTGTAAGTTACATTTTAATAATTCAACTTTACTGATATACAGTGGACCCCCAGTTTACAAAATTATTTCATTCCAGAAGTATGTTCAGGTGCCAGTACTGACCGAATTTGTTCCCATAAGGAATATTGTGAATTAGATTAATCCATTTCAGACCCCCAAACATACACATACAAACGCACTTACATAAATACACTTACATAAGTGGTCGCATTGGGAGCTGATCGTAAATCGGGGGTCCACTGTACTGTACAGTACTTGAACACTGACTTGCCATGTGATTTTTTGCAATTGTATTACAGTATTACGATTTTCAGAGTCAAACTATGAAGCCTAAACACTATTACTAATCATAATATATATGAATAATGGGGATGGTTTAAATACTTAGACCTGTCTATAGCACACTTAGTGGAATGTGAGAGTTATACAGTGGACCCCCGGTTAACGAACTTTCTTCATTCCAGTAGTATGTTCAGGTGCCAGTACTGACCGAATTTTTTCCCATAAGGAATATTGTGAAGTAGATTAGTCCATTTCAGACCCCCAAACATACACGTACAAACGCACTTACATAAATACACTTACATAATTGGTCGCATTTGGAGGTGATCGTTAAGCGGGGGTCCACTGTACTGTGGTAATTGTGTCAGTATATACTTCATTCGAAAAATTGTAAATTTTGTATGGCACCATCTGATAAACTCATCTATAATAGAATATCCTAAAACACTGCCAAGAAATCATACTTCTGGCATTTCATACATTCCTACATCACATGTTGTTATATTCGGGGTGATGTACTGAACCCGCAGGGGTTATGAAGTACCTTGAGGTAGTCAAGTATGATCCAAGGGGAGAGCTTTCTAATTCCTTGGATCAAAAGCTCTCAACTAGCATGAAGCAATCCATCCTTAAAAAGGAATGGGAGGTACAGCAATGAGTAATAAGACAGGGATGAAAATTTCATCTTTAAAGCCACTTAGCTTTACTTGATAGGTAAGACACATGTGTAACAGTTAGGTAACTTTATTGAGAAATGTTTTGCATACCCAGTAGACTTCTTCAGTAGAGAGGTGGCAGCAGAAGCAGTAGAACTGTAAAGACAATGTAATCAGTCCATCCATCACTGGAACATTGTTCTAGACTATAGAGCAATACTCTTCTCCAGACTGAGGGACTAACCACCTCAAAACTGTGTCTTCAAGGGTGATGGACTGATTCAATCATCTTTACATCTCTAATGCTTCTGCTAGCTCCTCTATACTCAACTAAAGAAGTCTACTGTGTGGGTAAAACATTTCAAAATAAAATTACCTAACTGTTGCACATGTGTCTTACTTATCAACTTGTTGGTACTGTATACTATTGCATTACCTGTGAATCTGATGGAAGTTCATCTCACACTTTTTTGAAGGAGCTCCCATTGTGGTCCAGTTTATGTCTCTGTATCACTAAGGAATAAAAATTTTATTAGTATATCATCTTAAAACAAGAATACAGTAGTTCCCCCCATATCCATGGGTGATACATTCCAAGGCCTACCATGGATTCCCGAAACCCTAGATAGCAGCGAATGCTATATAGTTATACGTATATGTCGTTTATCATTTACTTATATGCTTATGATAAAGTTTAATTGATAAATTACACAAACACTAAGTGGAGAATTAGTACAAAAGCATTCACATTGCTAAACTCACAAACTAGTATTTAGTCACTTAGCCATAATACCAACTTACCTCATAATTTGTAATATTTTTAAGTTGAGAATTAATCTAAGTCTGCCCGAAATGCCTAGCCATGCTAGGTGTTCTAGTGGCCCCCTCTGTAATTAGTATTTTACTACATGTAAACCACACAATAACCAAATTCTGTAAACTCAGCATTGTAATCCTTATAGAGAATAAACTTGATTTGAATTGATTTCACGGCTTCTCTTAGGCTTTGAAGAAATGCCACCATTGCTACTTTTGTGCTTTGTGGTTATTATTAAACATAATTTTCATTTTTATTTTCGAGCCACGGATAACTGAAACCACAAACAATGAATCTGCAGATGCAGGGGTTCTACTGTACTGTACTTTTTAGCACTGAATCTGAAGTAATGTGATAGTGTGCCCTAACTGTAAAATCTACTGTATTAATGTTTCTTTAAAGATTGAGTCATGATACAACAGGTCAATTTTAATACAGTATTTTTAATTTAGTGACCTAAAAACCCTTCAATACAAATGTAGTTAAAGTTTTTTGGTATGTTTAGTAAGACCTGAAACATAATCAATGTAAAGTTGTATCGTATACTTGTAGAAATAAATATCATTATTATTATTATTAATGACATCAGATATGGAATTTTTCAGGAACTATCGACTGAATAATCCTCAAAATAATAACTCTAACATTCAGGAGAAAGTACTAAATTTGCAGGGGTAATGCAGCACATAATGGCACTTGTATTGGGATTATTATTATTATAATAAAAAAGAAGCACTAAACCACAAGGGCCAAACAGCACTTCTATTGGGAGCCGTTTAATTCGATAAGTAAAGGTTCAATAATAGCTGTATTGATGATCTTTGAATTAATAGCCATAATGTCCTATGAACACAAGATATATAATTGTTGTGGCTTATTTCTATTAGGACCCTTCCATCCTCTCCCCCAAGATGCAACCAAAAACAGTCCACCACACATTATAATCATAATTAAACACTAAACCCATAAAAGTAATACAGCACTGTCTACTACACAGTGACACCTTATCTACTGCTAGGTGAACAGAGGCAGCAGGTGCAAGGTACAGCGAGCTATATTCCTGCATGGAGTTCTGGGTACCAATGCTCCCACAGCCCAGGCCTGGAGAACACCTGGAGAGGGTTTTGGGGGTCAATGCCCCCACAGCCCAGTCTGTGACCAGGCCTCATGGTGGATCAGGGCCTGATCAAAAAGGCTGTTACTGTTGGCCACACGCAACCCGGCGTACGAATCACAGCCCGGCTGGTCAGGTACTGAATTTAGGTGCCTGTTCAGCACCTTCTTGAAGACAGCCAGGAGGTCTATTGGTAATCCCCCTTATGTATGATGGAAGGCAGTTGAACAGTACTGGGCCCTTGACACTTATTGTGTTGTCTCTTATCATGCTAGTGGTACCCTTGCTTTTCATTGTGGGGATGTTGCATCGTCTCTGTGACCAGGCTTCACGGTGCATCAGAGCTTGATCAATTAGGCAGTTACTCCTGGATGCATGCAAAGCAATGTATGAACCACAGCCCAGCTGGTCAGGACTTAGGTGCCTGTTCAGCACCTGCTTAAAGACAGCCAGGGGTCTACTGGTAATCCCCCTTATGTATGCTGGGAGGCAGTTAACAGTCTTGGGCCCCTGGCTCTGACTTCACAAATAAAAAAACCAAAGAGGTTTCTGGAACACTATAGGCTCAATAGCTGAATCAACTTAATGTTTGTGACTCCCCCCCCCCCATCCACATCCATAATTTACCTGTCTAACAATCTGCATAATTTTCAGAGTTTTTTTGAGGGCTGATCTTGAGGTGATCCCCATACCTTGTACTCTCTAGGGTGACGGAATCTCCATCTAGGGTAGAGGAACCTCCATCTAGGGTAGAGGAACCTCCATCTAGGGTAGAGGAACCTCCATCTAGGGTAGAGGAACCTCCATCTAGGGTGGACTAACCTCCCTCTAGGGAGAATTAACCTCTCTAGGGAGGATTAACCTCCCTCTAAGGAGGATTAACCTCCCACTAGGGAGGATTAACTTCCCTCTAGAGGATTAACCTCCCTCTAGAGAGGATAAGCCTCCCTCTAGGGAGGATTAACCTCCCACTAGGGTGGAGGAACCACTATCCAGGATGGAGGAACCTTTATTATAGGCTGGATTAGCTTCCAACTAGGGTGGATTAACCTCCATCTAGGATGGAGGAACCATCACCTAGGGTGGAGGAACCACCATATAGGGTGGAGGAACCACCATCTAGGGTGGAGGAACCACCATCTAGGGTGGAGGAACCACCATCTAGGGTGGAGGAACCATCATCTAGGGTGGAGGAACCACCATCTAGGGTGGAGGAACCACCATCTAGGGTGGAGGAACCACCATCTAGGGTGGAGGAACCACCATCTAGGGTGGAGGAATCACCATCTAGGGTGGAGGAACTACCATCTAGGGTGGAGGAACCACCATCTAGGGTGGAGGAACCACCATCTAGGGTGGAGGAACCACCATCTAGGGTGGAGGAACCACCATCTAGGATGGAGGAACCATCATCTAGGATGGAGGAACCACCATCTAGAGTGGAGGAACCACCATCTAGGGTGGAGGAACCACCATCTAGGGTGGAGGAACCACCATCTAGGGTGGAGGAACCACCATCTAGGGTGGAGGAATCACCATCTAGGGTGGAGGAACTACCATCTAGGGTGGAGGAACCACCATCTAGGGTGGAGGAACCACCATCTAGGATGGAGGAACCACCATCTAGGATGGAGGAACCACCATCTAGGGTGGAGGAACCATCATCTAGGATGGAGGAACCACCATCTAGAGTGGAGGAACCACCATCTAGGGTGGAGGAACCACCATCTAGGGTGGAGGAACCACCATTTAGGGTGGAGGAACCATCATCTAGGGTGGAGGAACCACCAACTAGGGTGGAGGAACCACCATCTAGCGTGGAGGAACCACCATCTAGGATGGAGGAACCACCATCTAGGATGGAGGAACCACCATCTAGGATGGAGGAACCACCATCTAGGGTGGAGGAACCTCCATCTAGGGTGGAGGAACCACCATCTAGGATGGAGGAGCCTCCATCTAGGGTGGAGGAATCACCATCTAGGATGGAGGAACCACCATCTAGGGTGGAGGAGCCTCCATCTAGGGTGGAGGAATCACCATCTAGGATGGAGGAACCTCCATCTAGGGAGGAGGAACCACCATCTAGGATGGAGGAACCACCATCTAGAGTGGAGGAACCATTATCTAGGATGGAGGAACCACCATCTAGGATGGAGGAACCATCATCTAGGATGGAGGAACCTCCATCTAGGGTGGAGGAACCTCCATCTAGGGTGGAGGAACCACTATCTAGGATGGAAGAACCTCCATCTAGGGTGGAGGAATCACCATCTAGGATGGAGGAACCTCCATTTAGGGTGGAGGAACCTCCATCTAGGGTGGAGGAATCACCATCTAGGATGGAGGAACCTCCATCTAGGGTGGAGGAACCACCATCTAGGGCGGAGGAATCACAATCTAGGATGGAGGAACCTCCATCTAGGGTGGAGGAACCTCAATCTAGGGTGGAGGAATCACCATCTAGGATGGAGGAACCACCATCTAGGGTGGAGGAATCACAATCTAGGATGGAGGAACCACCATCTAGGGTGGAGGAATCACCATCTAGGGTGGAGGAATCACCATCTAGGGTGGAGGAACCACATCTAGGATGGAGGAATCACCATCTAGGGTGGAGGAATCACCATCTAGGGTGGAGGAACCACCATCTAGGGTGGAGGAATCACCATCTAGGGTGGAGGAACCACCATCTAGGGTGGAGGAATCACCATCTAGGGTGGAGGAATCACCATCTAGGGTGGAGGAATCACCATCTAGGGTGGAGGAACCACCATCTAGGGTGGAGGAATCACCATCTATGGTGGAGGAATCACCATCTAGGGTGGAGGAATTACCATCTAGGGTGGAGGAACCTCCATGTAGTGGAGGAATCACCATCTAGGGTGGAGGAACCACCATGTAGGGTGGAGGAATCACCATCTAGGGTGAAGGAATCACCATCTAGGGTGGAGGAATCACCATCTAGGGTGGAAGAATCACCATCTAGGGTGGAGGAACCACCATCTAGGGTGGAGGAACCACCATCTAGGGTGGAGGAATCACCATCTAGGGTGGAGGAATCACCATCTAGGGTGGAGGAACCTCCATGTAGTGGAGGAATCACCATCTAGGGTGGAGGAATTACCATCTAGGGTGGAGGAACCACCATCTAGGGTGGAGGAACCATCATCTAGGATGGAGGAACCACCATCTAGGGTGGAGGAATCACCATCTAGGGTGGAGGAACCACCATCTAGGGTGGAGGAACCACCATCTAGGGTGAAGGAATCACCATCTAGGGTGGAGGAATCACCACTTAGGATGGATTAACCTCCATCTAGGGTGGATTAACCTCCATCTAGGGTGGATTAACCTCCATCTAGGGTGGATTAACCTCCATCTAGGGTGGATTAACCTCCATCTAGGGTGGATTAACCTCCATCTAGGGTGGAGGAACCACCATCTAGGGTGGAGGAACCACCATCTAGGGTGGAGGAACCACCATCTAGGGTGGAGGAATCACCATCTAGGGTGGAGGAATCACCACTTAGGATGGATTAACCTCCATCTAGGGTGGATTAACCTCCATCTAGGGTGGATTAACCTCCATCTAGGGTGGATTAACCTCCATCTAGGGTGGATTAACCTCCATCTAGGGTGGATTAACCTCCATCTAGGGTGGATTAACCTCCATCTAGGGTGGATTAACCTCCATCTAGGGTGGATTAATCTCCATCTAGGGTGGATTAACCTCCATCTAGGGTGGATTAACCTCCATCTAGGGTGGATTAACCTCCATCTAGGGTGGATTAACCTCCATCTAGGGTGGATTAATCTCCATCTAGGGTGGATTAATCTCCATCTAGGGTGGATTAACCTCCATCTAGGGTGGATTAACCTCCATCTAGGGTGGATTAACCTCCATCTAGGGTGGATTAACCTCCATCTAGGGTGGATTAACCTCCATCTAGGGTGGATTAATCTCCATCTAGGGTGGATTAACCTCCATCTAGGGTGGATTAACCTCCATCTAGGGTGGATTAATCTCCATCTAGGGTGGATTAACCTCCATCTAGGGTGGATTAACCTCCATCTAGGGTGGATTAACCTCCATCTAGGGAGATAAACAAGACAAGTCACCAACCACGCCACCTCCATCAGTTCTCTCTTACCATCAATTCACCGCCTCTGCTAGCCACTGGCAGCATCAATCACAAGGTAGCTGACAGCTACACCATCAATCTAGAGGCTAGAGAAGGTAAATAACCTAGGAATGATGAGTGAGAAAGTCAGCACGTGTTGTCAGTGGTCACCCCTCCCTCTACTCTCAGTGCAACGGTGCCAAACTTACATTGTTGTTCTATAACAATTTAAGTTATCTTTGTAATCATGTGCAAACATTGAGGACATTGACGTTATTAATATGTATTGTTATCTACTATGTCAGTGAACATTTGGTGGGTTAAATTGTTAATGTATATCTCGATTTTCATTTTACACTTGGCACATGTGGCTAGTTATGATCCCTATTAAAAAATGGAAGTTATTTATGCTAATTAGGAGAAAATTTGCAATGTTGAAAGTTACAGATTTGTAAAAAAAAAATGTATTTTTAAACATTTTACACTCATATAATAATGAAAAACTTACAAAATTATATTATATGATTATACTGATGGTCCTTTAGTTCACAATTTTTTTTTAAGACGGTTGAGAACCAGTAAAGCTTATTATGCTTTTATTGAACTCTAGCTCCCGGCACTCCGGGGAAGAATATAGCTGACCAAAGGTTTGAACAGTTTGGGGACTGTTGTTACTTTATCTTATCTAGAAACTTTAATTGTATTTTGCACTTCCAAGTTTCATACTATTATTGTTATTACATTAATGGGGAGGGCTAAACCCGCAGGGGTAGTACAGATCGACCCTAGGAAGGTAAGGACAGCTCCCCCCTTCCTAGGATCAGTTATTATTATAATCAAAAAGCGCTAAACCTACTAGGATCATACTTCCTTGAATCAAGAGCCTCTATGACCAGGTCGAGGAACTTCAAGCGTTCCCAGTAATTTGGGTGTTTTATCGCACTTACGTGCGCCGTGAAGATTGTCTGTACATTTTCCAGGTCTGCAATTTCACCTGCCTTGAAGGGTGTAGTTAGTGTGCAGCAATATTCCAGCCTAGATAGAACAAGCGACCTGAAGAGTGTCATCATGGGCTTGGCATCCCTAGTTTTGAAGGTTTTCATTATCCATTCTTATTATTTTCCTAGCAGATGTGGTAGATACATTATTGTGATATTTGAAAGTGAGATTCTCTGACATTATCACTCCCAGGTCCTTCACATTAGTTTTTCGCTCTATTGTGTGGCTGGAATTCGTTTTATACTCCGATACAATTTTAATCTCCTCGAGTTTTCCATAGCAAAGTAATTGAAATTTGTCTTCATTGAACTTCATATTGTTTTCTGCTGCCCATTTAGAGATTTGGTTGATGTCCACTTGGAGACTTGCAGTGTCTTCGATGGATGACACTCATGTAAATTCTGGTATCATTAGCATATCTGACATAGACATCTCTGTCTATGTCAGATATGAGAATAAGGAACAAGATGGGAGCTAGTACTGTGCTTTGCGGAACAGCATTACACAGTAGCCACCTCAGACTTTGTTTACTGTTACTTTTTGTGTTCTATTTGTTAGGAGGTTATAGATCCATCTACCAACTTTTCCTGAGGTGTCAAAGAACACTGAGAGGACACACAAACATCACTGGAAACACTGATACATTTTATTATCTAATAGAAAAGTATAGAGTATAGCATGTGGGTGAGACATTGATGAGTTGAGGTGGAGGTTGTGTGGTGGTTCCTACCCTGTCACTCACATCATCATAATCATCATCTGAGATGACATCATCATCACTATCATCATTATACCAACACTCATGGTAAAATTCGATGGTTTGTCACTTATACTCTCTCTCTCTCTCTCTCTCTCTCTCTCCAGTTCCTCAAACTTACTAACTTTTCCTGCACTTTACTTACTTTCTAATTACCAAACCTAGAAGTGGATTCGACTTAACTACTTAAATTATTATTATTATTATTATTATTATTATTATTATTATTATTATTATTATTATTATTATTATTATTATTATCATCAAAGAAGATATATATTTTGGTTGTCTATTACACATGGACTATATAATTATCAATATTATTATTATTATTATTGTCTATTAACATTAAATCTACGTGTTAGATCACAGTCAACTGCAGTGTCTGTATATCTGTGTCGTGATTGTGTATGAGTGTATATCTCTGTGTCGTGATTGTGTATGAGTGTATATCTCTGTGTCGTGATTGTGTATGAGTGTATATCTCTGTGTCGTGATTGTGTATGAGTGTATATCTCTGTGTCGTGATTGTGTATGAGTGTATATCTCTGTGTCGTGATTGTGTATGAGTGTATATCTCTGTGTCGTGATTGTGTATGAGTGTATATCTGTGTCGTGATTGTGTATGAGTGTATATCCTTATTGTATGTTGTGATTGTGTATGGTGGACTCAGCACACTGCTGCTCGGGTCATGTATACACAACATTGACTTCACAATCTCCAACATATTTGAAGCCTCCAGCAGGTATCCCTCAAGTTGTATCCCTCAAGGGGTACCTTTATGAGAGATGTGCAAGCATACATCAGGTATCCCTCAAGTGGTACCTTTAAGACAGACAAGTTTACAGCAGGTATCCCTCAAGTGGTACCTTAAGACAGACTTGCAAGCATACAACAGGTATCCCTCAAGCGGTACCTTTAACACAGACGTGCAAGCTTACAGCAGGTATCCCTCAAGTGGAACCCTTAAGAAATGTGCAAACATACATCAGGTATCCCTCAAGTGGTATTTCTCAAGTGATAACCTTAAGTGGTATCCCTCAAGTGGTACTTTTAAGACAGACGTGCAAGCATACATCAGGTATCCCTCAAGTTGTTGCCAGAATATTTTGTCTCCTCCTCCAATTTATTACTCGAGAACGCCTCGTGGGATAGGCTTGAAACCTTCAGAACTGATGTATCTTACCCGTAATTTACTTTCTTTTTATTGAGAAAGTTGAAATATTGATTTCCATATAGGTCGTGGGGGATACCTTTCTTGGATCATTGAGGTAGAGGAGGCTGGGTTAATAGGATGGAGGGATACCTTTCCTGGATCACTGAGATAGAGGCTGGGTATATAGGGCGGAGGGATACCTTTCCTGGATCACTGAGATAGAGGCTGGGTATATAGGGCGGAGGGATACCTTTCCTGGATCACTGAGATAGAGGCTGGGTATACAGGACGGAGGGATATCTTTCTTGGATCACTGAGGTAGAGGAGGTTGGGTATATAGGATGGTGGGATACCTTTCTTGGATCACTAGCAGGATGTTGGGGATACCTTTCTTGGATCACTAATAGGATGTGGGGGATACCTTTCTTAGATCACTGAGGTAGAGAGGGCTGGGTATGCAGAGTGTGGGGGATACCTTTCTTGGATCACTAATAGGATGTTGGGGGATACCTTTCTTGGATCACTAATAGGATGTTGGGGATACCTTTCTTGGATCACTAATAGGATTTTGGGGATACCTTTCTTGGATCACTAATAGGATGTGGGGATACCTTTCTTAGATCACTGAGGTAGAGAGGGGTGGGTACGCAGAGTGTGGGGGATACCTTTCTTGGATTACTAGACTTAGGGAATACAGGAATACTTTCTGGTACCACATCAAATGTGACAATCTCTCACAATATTAAGTAATAATCTAATGCAGGAAGACTCAGAGTGGAAGATAGCATCAGTGAAGGCTTGTGTAATGACTTACACACTTGTGCTACACCTGTGGGGGACGTTTCGCCCACCAGTGTCTTCCTCAGTCCAATACAGAGATGAATAGATGAAAATCAGAAGGAGTTTGAGGTAATCAGTCCCTCAAGATTGACGGACTGATCATATCAACTCCAAGTTAAGGGACTGATTTCTTCAAACTCACCTCTGATCTGAAACTGTATCTTCTCTGTAATTGGGACTGAGGAAGTCACTGACGTGCCGAAACGTATTCGCAATAAAGATACACGAATGTTAATTCATCATCCTGATCACGAAATCGTAATTTACGCAATTGCAACAAACCATACCAAGGTGGGTTAGAACCCCCCGATCAAGAACTCTGATCGCGTCTAACCCCACCCGGTAGGTTCATCATCCATGGTTCTCCTGAACCACTATCTACAAGTGGCTTGTGTACACACACACACACACACACACACACACACACACACACATCTGTAACTCCACACCACTTACACACACACACACCAGCTTTAAGACGAGGTTTGATAAAGCTCATGGAGCAGGGAGAGAGTGGACCTAGAAGCGACCAGTGAAGAGGCGGGGCCAGGAGTTATGGCTCGACCCCTACAGCCACAAATAGATGACTAAACACACACACACATGACCCCAAACAGCACGTACTTAATCACAGATCAACACTACATTACGAAGGGACTTTGTCGTAACAGCCCTATAGGCCTAAACGTCACTAAACACACATTATTCCTACTGATATGTAAAGCAGTATGCCTAACTCTCCTCACCTCAAGTAATATTTATCACAATTGAGGGCAAACTATAGCAAGGTAATACAAGTTTTATCGAAGTTCCCAAAGCTTATTATCCATGGTTAACTGGCAAGGTTCGAAGCCTCTCTAGTACAGGAGGGTCGTCAAGGCTGTACGTAACCTATTTACTGACACTTAAATATATCTCAATCCCCTAAAATAGGGGAATTAAGCAAGCTCTCAGCTCATTTAAGCTGAGAAATACTGACTTCCAGTACACACACACACTTATTGACCCTAATTTGTATCTCCATATATATTAATGACTTACTGTGTGTTTTTTGCAGTTTGAATTATATAAATATTGTATCTACATAATACCTTTATATACAGTAGGTACTGTATTTACATAATACTGTATTGCATGAGCATTGTATTCACAAAGTACTCTATTAGAAGTATTGCATTCATGTTGTATTATACATAATAATTTAACAAATAAGTATTGTATTCACATAATACTGCATTGTATTCACATGATACTGTATTGTATTCACATGATACTGTATTGTATTCACATGATACTGTATTGTATTCACATGATACTGTATTGTATTCACATGATACTGTATTGTATTCACATGATACTGTATTGTATTCACATGATACTGTATTGTATTCACATGATACTGTATTGTATTCACATGATACTGTATTGTATTCACATGATACTGTATTGTATTCACATGATACTGTATTGTATTCACATGATACTGTATTGTATTCACATGATACTGTATTGTATTCACATGATACTGTATTGTATTCACATGATACTGTATTGTATTCACATGATACTGTATTGTATTCACATGATACTGTATTGTATTCACATGATACTGTATTGTATTCACATGATACTGTATTGTATTCACATGATACTGTATTGTATTCACATGATACTGTATTGTATTCACATGATACTGTATTGTATTCACATGATACTGTATTGTATTCACATGATACTGTATTGTATTCACATGATACTGTATTGTATTCACATGATACTGTATTGTATTCACATGATACTGTATTGTATTCACATGATACTGTATTGTATTCACATGATACTGTATTGTATTCACATGATACTGTATTGTATTCACATGATACTGTATTGTATTCACATGATACTGTATTGTATTCACATGATACTGTATTGTATTCACATGATACTGTATTGTATTCACATAATATTGTATTGTATTCACATGATACTGGAAGTTTATTATGACAGACAGGGGTCAGTTGAATTACGAACTAACCTAAGCTTCGTACTCTAAGATCTGTAATAATATAACACTCTTGGTGGAAGAATAGGTTGCAAGGTGAATTTTGTGGTGTAAACGCGACCTTCAGCTTAGCATTCATGGTGGGAGTTTCAAGAAGACTGGAAGGTCTTGCTAGCCTGGTTAACCATACATGAATACAAGACATGCTTCTCTCACAGCTTCAAGAAGACTGGAAGACCACTCTCACAGCTTCGAGAAGACTGGAAGACCACTCCCACAGCTTCGAGAAGACTGGAAGACCACTCCCACAGCTTCGAGAAGACTGGAAGACCACTCCCACAGCTTCGAGAAGACTGGAAGACCACTCCCACAGCTTCAACAAGACTGGAAGACCACTCCCACAGCTTCGAGAAGACTGGAAGACCACTCCCACAGCTTCAACAAGACTGGAAGACCACTCCCACAGCTTCAAGAAGACTGGGAGACCACTTCTACAGCTTCGAGAAGACTGGGAGACCACTTCTACAGCTTCAAGAAGACTGGGAGACCACTTCTACAGGTTCAAGAAGACTGGGAGACCACTTCTACAGGTTCAAGAAGACTGGACGACCAGTCCCACAGCTTCAAGAAGACTGGAAGACCACTCCCACAGCTTCAAAAAGACTGGGAGACCACTTCCACAGCTTCAAGAAGACTGGAAGACCAGTCCCACAGCTTCAAGAATCTGGAAGACCACTCCCACAGCTTCAAAAAGACTGGGAGACCACTCCCACAGCTTCAAAAAGACTGGGAGACCACTTCCACAGCTTCAAGAAGACTGGAAGACCACTCCCACAGCTTCAAGAAGACTGGAAGACCAGTCCCACAGCTTCAAGAAGACTGGAAGACCACTTCCACAGCTTCAAGAAGACTGGAGGATCTCACCAGCTTCAACAAGACATGGAAGATCATCTCAAAGCTTCAAATACTCTGGAAGACCACTCCCACAGCTTCAAAAGACGGTAAGATCACACCAAGCTTCAAGAAGACTGGAAGCACTTCCACGTCAAGAAGATGGAAGGACATCCCAAAGTTCAGGAAGACTGGAAGACCATCCACAGCTTCAAAGACTGGAAGATACTCACAAGCTTCAAGAAGACTGGAGGTTTCACCTATCTGGCTAACAAGGGATTTCAAGGTCAATGTTGTAAGCACTACTGTAAAGACGTTAAGAGGTACGTGAGTTCAACTGAAAGGTTTAGTGACAACAGTGGACTGGAGGATAAGTAACAGAATCTGTTAGATATTAAGCTGAAGAATTCAAGTCGATGGGTGTTCAGCGGTTGGTAACCACACATCAATAGTCATATTTTACACTCTGTAAGGACAGTTAGGATCTCCGTGAGTTATCAACTACGAGTATAGTAAAGTTAATATAAGTAGTATAAGATTTAGATATATACAAAATAAGTTAATATGGATATGTATATTAAATATATATTATATATATATATATATATAATATATATATATATATATATTATATATATATATATATATATTATAATATATATATATATATTATATATATATATATATAATATATATATATATATATATATATATATATATTATATATAATATATATATATATAAAATAAATTAATAATTATTATATATAAATATATTATATATATATATATATTATATACTTATATATACACTATAATATATATAATTATATATATATATATAATATAATATATATATATATATATATATATATATAATATATATTATATATAATATATATATATATATATATATATATATATATATATATATATTATATATATATATATAATATATATAATATATATATATATATAATATATATATATATATATATATATATATATATATATATATATATATATATATATATATATATACGCGATGGTTACACTCCTCACTGTTTTATAAGGACTGTAATGACTAGCCCAATGCCTCAAAGGTCCTTAGAGGGTCTTAGAGGTCCTTAGAAGTCCCTTTAATTTTCAGAAACCTTCTGAAGTCCCTATTTCCTCCTGCCTAAATGATAGCCTCCTCTCTGACATCTTAGACAGCTAGACATCATTGACGCTGTCAAAACATCACTAGACAGTGATGCCCCTCATAGTCTTGCAGGATGTTGAGAGTTGAGTCCTACAGGATGCAGCATCTCTGGTCACGGATGTCAGGATGGTCCGGGATGGCGCTGCAGGATGCTGCCTGAGCCAGGCTGAAGGAACGCCTTCTTACCACATCCATGATATTTCCTAGAGACTTGAGCCGTCCCCTTGCTCCCGTCGGCGCCTGGAATCAATCAATCAAGTTTATTCTCTATAAGGATTACAATGCGGGGTTTACAGATTTTGAATATTGTGTGGTTTACATGTTTTAAAATACTAATTACAGAGGGGACCACTAGGATACCTAGCATGACTAGGCATTTCGGGCAGACTTAGATTAATTCTAAACTTTAAATTCTTACAGATTATGGTATTAAGGCTAAGTGACTACATTATAGTTTGTGAGTTTAGCAATGTGAATGCTTTTGTTTTGGCACAATACATAGTGTCTATATTGGAGTATCATAGGCAAACTTATGACTAGTTAGGATTCATTATTTTAAGATTAAGATTAGTATTTCTGTGTTTATAGTCAATGGGTGAGTGAGTGTAAGTGTGAACCACCAGATGGTTTACATGTAGTTAGTTGACGGGGTGTATCAGGGAGATAAGATGTTTTCTAACTGTAGTTTTGAAAGTGATGAATGTGTCTGCAGTTCTAGAGTTCTCAGGTAGGGTGTTCCAGATTTTAGGTCCTTTGACACACATTGAATTTTTGTAAAGGTTTAGTCGGACACGGGGAATGTCATAGAGATGTTTGTGTCTGGTGTTATGCCTGTGGGTTCTGTCACAACTATCAAGAAAGCGTTTTAGGCGAAGGTTAATATTGGAATTTAAGGTCCTGTAGATGTAGATTGCACAGTAGTAAGTGTGGATGTTCTGAACAGGGAGTAAGTTTAGATCTATGAAGAGTGGGGGGGGGGTGTTGCCAGGGATGGGATTTAGTGATTATTCTTACTGCGGCTTTTTGTTGGGTTATTATTGGCTTTAGGTGTGTTGCTGCAGTTGATCCCCAAGCACAAATAGCATAGGTGAGGTATGGATAAATGAGTGAATGGTATAGTGTGAGAAGGGCAGTTTGCGGCACGTAATATCGTATCTTGGAGAGGATCCCCACCGTTTTGGATACTTTTTTTGTTGTGTTGGATATGGGTGCTGAAATTTAGGTTGTTGTCGAGGTATAGACCTAGGAATTTGCCCTCATTATGTCTGGCAATTAGAGTGTTGTCGATCTTAATGTTAAGTTGCGCAACACCTGCTCTGCTACCAAACATAATGTTGTAGGTTTTGTCAGTGTTAAGTGTAAGTTTATTGGCTGACATCCAAGTCAGAATTTTGAGCAGCTCCTCGTTGACAATGGTGTTGAGGGTGGCAAGATTAAGGTGGGAGATGACGTAAGTCGTGTCGTCAGCAAAGAGAATGGGTTTCAGGTGTTGGGATACGTTTGGAAGATCATTAATGTAAATGAGGAAGAGCAGGGGACCAAGGACACTTCCCTGCGGAACTCCAGTATCAAGTGGCCGTGATGATGAGGCTGTGTCTTTAATGGTGACATACTGATACCTATTAGTAAGGTAGAATTTGAAATATGCAAGTGCATGGCCTCTTATACCATAATGGTCAAGTTTGTGGAGCAGGATGCCGCGGTCTACTGTGTCAAACGCTTTTCTTAGGTCAATAAAAATTCCTAGCGAATAGTTTGATTATTAAGACACAGGTACACATAAGTACAATTACCATACCTAGCAACATATGTATAAACACCTAGGATAAGCGAATTTAGGCACACATAACTGCAATTATCATACAGAAGTATAGAAACAAATCCCTGTACACCTCTCACTCACCATTTCATTATTAGCCAGGCCGTAGGTACGTATGAGGAGCTGCTTAAATAGCTCTCCCACGTTAATGTTGTACTTGGCTGAAGTTTCCAGGTACGAGGCGTTGGTCATGTCTGTGTCGACCCAGGTCTGGGCTCTCTGGAAGCTGACTACTCTCTCACGATCCAGGTCCACTTTGTTACCCACCACCACCACTGGTGCTCCTTCCATACCTGCTGACACAATGATGACATGTAATAATAGAAATAATAACGATAATAGTGGTAGTAGTAATAATAATGACAATAATAATATAGAATAATGAAAATAATAATAATAATAATAATAATAATAATAATAATAATAATAATAATAATAATAATAATAATAATAATAATAATACATTTTATTAAAAAGTGTATAAATGCTCCAAAAAATTGAGTTAAATATTTATGTTAAATGTTTGTGTTATATGTGTTAATGTTTATCGCTGATCTGCTGAAGAGGGACTCTGATTGAGGCGAGGATTTTTTCCCCAACTCGTATGTTCGATTTTTGCGTTCATGTGTGACTGACCTTTTACGTTGATCTACGTTGTAGAGTTTACCTTAAATCTTCCCCCTACCTCTAGGTAGCTCGCCTCACCTTTTACAGGAGTTTGTAGATAGTTTACCTAATATCTTACCCTGTGTGTGGGTAGGGCTTACCTTTGATGTTAGTAATAAGGTTCCACAGAGATTGGGCCTCGTAGAAACTTTGTTCGTTGTTCACAGCGAAGACTATAACGAAGGCTCGGCCGGATCTGATGGATAGTTCCCTCATGGCTGGGAAGTGGTGGGAGCCAGCAGTGTCTAGGATCTCCAGAGCATGGAACAACCCATCTGTGGGCAGGAGAATAGTGTTAGTGGTGGGTACAGTCACTATCTACTATCACCAGAGCACAGTACAGTCAGTGTGTGGGTAGGAGAGAAGTGTTAGTGGTGTATACAGTCACTATTATCACCAGAGCACAGTACAGTCAGTGTGTGGGTAGGAGAGAAGTGTTAGTGGTGTATACAGTCACTATTATCACCAGAGCACAGTACAGTCAGTGTGTGTGGGTAGGAGAGAAGTGTTAGTGGTGTATACAGTCACTATTATCACCAGAGCACAGTACAGTCAGTGTGTGGGTAGGAAAGAAGTGTTAGTGGTGGATACAGCCACTATTATCACCAGAGCACAGTACAGTCAGTGTGTGGGTAGGAGAGAAGTGTTAGTGGTGTATACAGTCACTATTATCACCAGAGCACAGTACAGTCAGTGTGTGGGTAGGAGAGAAGTGTTAGTGGTGTATACAGTCACTATTATCACCAGAGCACAGTACAGTCAGTGTGTGGGTAGGAAAGAAGTGTTAGTGGTGGATACAGCCACTATTATCACCAGAGCACAGTACAGTCAGTGTGTGGGTAGGAGAGAAGTGTTAGTGGTGTATACAGTCACTATTATCACCAGAGCACAGTACAGTCAGTGTGTGGGTAGGAGAGAAGTGTTAGTGGTGGATACAGTCACTATTATCACCAGAGCACAGTACAGTCAGTGTGTGGGTAGGAGAGAAGTGTTAGTGGTGTATACAGTCACTATTATCACCAGAGCACAGTACAGTCAGTGTGTGGGTAGGAGAGAAGTGTTAGTGGTGTATACAGTCACTATTATCACCAGAGCACAGTACAGTCAGTGTGTGGGTAGGAGAGAAGTGTTAGTGGTGGATACAGTCACTATTATCACCAGAGCACAGTACAGTCAGTGTGTGGGTAGGAAAGAAGTGTTAGTGGTGGATACAGTCACTATTATCACCAGAGCACAGTACAGTCAGTGTGTGGGTAGGAAAGAAGTGTTAGTGGTGTATACAGTCACTATTATCACAGAGCACAGTACAGTCAGTGTGTGGGTAGGAGAGAAGTGTTAGTGGTGGATACAGTCACTATTATCACCAGAGCACAGTACAGTCAGTGTGTGGGCAGGAAAGAAGTGTTAGTGGTGGATACAGTCACTATTATCACCAGAGCACAGTACAGTCAGTGTGTGGGCAGGAGAGAAGTGTTAGTGGTGGGTACAGTCACTATCTACTATCACCAGAGCACAGTACAGTCAGTGTGTGGGCAGGAAAGAAGTGTTAGTGGTGGATACAGTCACTATTATCACCAGGGCACAGTACAGTCAGTGTGAGGGTAGGAAAGAAGTGTTAGTGGTGGATACAGTCACTATTATCACCAGGGCACAGTACAGTCAGTGTGAGGGTAGGAGAGAAGTGTTAGTGGTGGATACAGTCACTATTATCACCAGAGCACAGTACAGTCAGTGTGAGGGTAGGAGAGAAGTGTTAGTGGTGGATACAGTCACTATTATCACCAGAGCACAGTACAGTCAGTGTGAGGGCAGGAGAGAAGTGTTAGTGGTGGATACAGTCACTATTATCACCAGAGCACAGTACAGTGAGTGTGTGGGTAGGAGAGAAGTGTTAGTGGTGGATACAGTCACTATTATCACCAGAGCACAGTACAGTCAGTGTGTGGGTAGGAGAGAAGTGTTAGTGGTGTATACAGTCACTATTATCACCAGAGCACAGTACAGTCAGTGTGTGGGTAGGAGAGAAGTGTTAGTGGTGGATACAGTCACTATTATCACCAGAGCACAGTACAGTCAGTGTGAGGGTAGGAGAGAAGTGTTAGTGGTGGATACAGTCACTATTATCACCAGAGCACAGTACAGTCAGTGTGAGGGTAGGAGAGAAGTGTTAGTGGTGGATACAGTCACTATTATCACCAGAGCACAGTACAGTCAGTGTGAGGGTAGGAGAGAAGTGTTAGTGGTGTATACAGTCACTATTATCACCAGAGCACAGTACAGTCAGTGTGAGGGTAGGAGAGAAGTGTTAGTGGTGGATACAGTCACTATTATCACCAGAGCACAGTACAGTCAGTGTGAGGCAGGAGAGAAAGTGTTAGTGGTGGATACAGTCACTATTATCACCAGAGCACAGTACAGTCAGTGTGTGGGTAGGAGAGAAGTGTTAGTGGTGGATACAGTCACTATTATCACCAGAGCACAGTACAGTCAGTGTGTGGGTAGGAGAGAAGTGTTAGTGGTGTATACAGTCACTATTATCACCAGAGCACAGTACAGTCAGTGTGTGGGTAGGAGAGAAGTGTTAGTGGTGTATACAGTCACTATTATCACCAGAGCACAGTACAGTCAGTGTGAGGGTAGGAGAGAAGTGTTAGTGGTGGATACAGTCACTATTATCACCAGAGCACAGTACAGTCAGTGTGTGGGTAGGAGAGAAGTGTTAGTGGTGGATACAGTCACTATTATCACCAGAGCACAGTACAGTCAGTGTGTGGGTAGGAGAAAAGTGTTAGTGGTGTATACAGTCACTATTATCACCAGAGCACAGTACAGTCAGTGTGTGGGTAGGAGAGAAGTGTTAGTGGTGTATACAGTCACTATTATCACCAGAGCACAGTACAGTCAGTGTGTGGGTAGGAGAGAAGTGTTAGTGGTGTATACAGTCACTATTATCACCAGAGCACAGTACAGTCAGTGTGTGGGTAGGAGAGAAGTGTTAGTGGTGGATACAGCCACTATTATCACCAGAGCACAGTACAGTCAGTGTGAGGGTAGGAGAGAAGTGTTAGTGGTGTATACAGTCACTGTTATCACCAGAGCACAGTACAGTCAGTGTGTGGGTAGGAGAGAAGTGTTAGTGGTGTATACAGTCACTATTATCACCAGAGCACAGTACAGTCAGTGTGAGGGTAGGAGAGAAGTGTTAGTGGTGTATACAGTCACTATTATCACCAGAGCACAGTACAGTCAGTGTGAGGGTAGGAGAGAAGTGTTAGTGGTGTATACAGTCACTATTATCACCAGAGCACAGTACAGTCAGTGTGTGGGTAGGAGAGAAGTGTTAATGGTGGATACAGTCACTATTATCACCAGAGCACAGTACAGTCAGTGTGTGGGTAGGAGAGAAGTGTTAGTGGTGGATACAGTCACTATTATCACCAGAGCACAGTACAGTCAGTGTGTGGGTAGGAGAGAAGTGTTAGTGGTGCATACAGTCACTATTATCACCAGAGCACAGTACAGTCAGTGTGAGGGTAGGAGAGAAGTGTTAGTGGTGTATACAGTCACTATTATCACCAGAGCACAGTACAGTCAGTGTGAGGGTAGGAGAGAAGTGTTAGTGGTGTATACAGTCACTATTATCACAGAGCACAGTACAGTCAGTGTTGTGGGTAGGAGAGAAGTGTTAGTGGTGGATACAGTCACTATTATCACCAGAGCACAGTACAGTCAGTGTGAGGGTAGGAGAGAAGTGTTAGTGGTGTATACAGTCACTATTATCACCAGAGCACAGTACAGTCAGTGTGTGGGTAGGAGAGAAGTGTTAGTGGTGGATACAGTCACTATTATCACCAGAGCACAGTACAGTCAGTGTGAGGGTGACAGGGTAATATAACCACTCAGTGTAATATTCAACAGTCGCCTCATCATCACCTCAGTCTTAACAATTATTTTTCCAGGGGAACTCTTAGAAATGTCTTTCATTTTCCCTGACATTAATATTAAAGGCAAAGTTAATTACGTTTCCAGGAAGTGTATGTGGCGTGTGTTTGAGTGTATGTGGCGTGTGTATGTGGTGTGTGTGTGTGTGTGTGTGTGTGTGTGTGTGTGTGTGTGTGTGTGTGTGTGTGTGTGTGTGTGTGTGTGTGTGTAATGTTGATTTTGACTAATTCGGTTACAGTGTCACATACACACAGTCTGGAAAATGATGTAGTGGAGGCAGGAACCATACATAGCTTCAAGAAGAGGTATGATAAGGTTCATGGAGCAGAGAGAGAGAGTTGACCTAGCAGCAACCAATGAAGAGACGGGGCCAGGAGCTATGAATCGACCCCTGCAACCACAATTAGGTGAGTACAGCTTGTGATGACAAAGTGCAGGGAGGCAGAGAGGTTCGTACCCAGGGGCAATAAAAACAATGGGAAGACCAGGGTGAGGCCATGGTTTACCCAGGGGTGTAGAGACGCCAAAAGTCAAATATGCTAGAGCATTCTTCTCTATCTTTTCACAAGCTTCGCAATTTTGCACTTGGTGGGTTAAACTCCAGGAGCCATTTGTCAGACCAGGCTTATAACTCCGGACATGATAGCTATCACAGAGACAAAGCTGGCCAGAATATCAAACGCTATATTTCCAGCAGAATATATATACCAAGTAATGGAAAGCAGAAGAAACGGGAGACAGAGGGGCAATGTTAATCAGTACCTAGTGGAAGTAAAGATGGATGGACACACAGGAAGTGGAGGGTGCGTGAAGCAAGACTAGAAAATCCTCGTAAATACTCTTCACTGCTTTCAATAACCTACCTCCTATTCCATACATTTGCAACATCTGCCACATTGCCCCCCTATCCACCCTACCATACGCCTTTTCCAAATCCACAAAAGCCACAAAAACCTCTTTATCCTTATCTGACTTTGAGTGGTAGAAAGAAATGAATTTAGTTCAGTGATACAGAGAATTGGAGGGAGGGATAGAGAACCCCTGAATGTGGAACAGTGAGACAGAGAATTATAAGAAAAGCTAGAGAATGAGATGAAGAAACCAGTTACAAAATGCCTGGGGTGCAGAGCAGACCTTCACACGAAGAAAAACAGAGAGAGAGAGAGAGAGAGAGAGAGAGAGAGAGAGAGCTCCTGGCCTATCCAATGCGATCATGAAGCAAGACCCAACACAGGAAATAAGACCACCAATAACCCCCTTCTCTTCCCTTACACCCTTTTCCTTCACCCTGACACCCTCCTAGACCAGGACCTCATCATGTTGAGACGTTACACACCTCTACCTAATTTCCTTCTCTTGACACTCCTCCTTACTCAACGCATTTTTACTTAATATCGCCGGGAGTAATAACTGCCATTGAAGCAAACAGAAGCCAAGTCAATATCTCCGTTTGTTTACCGTTATTTCCTGTTGTGGGCGTGGGTTCTGTTGTCCAGAGATTATGCTACAGCAAGGATAGACGATAAATATTAATATATCCAGTCGATATGGTCGATAAATACAAGGTTAAGATATTCTAAGCAGGGGTAGAGGATAGATCCTGCCACAACGAACCTTGTTCATAGAGTCTTATCTATCCAGACAGGATAGCTAATATACTGTACCACAGCTGCACAGGATAGACACTACCACAGCCAAGATGGTACACTATCTCAGCCACGACAGTACACTATCACAGCCAAGACAGTACACTATCTCAGCCAAGATAGTACACTATCTCAGCCAAGATAGTACACTATCACAGCCAAGATAGTACACTATCTCAGCCACGACAGTACACTATCACAGCCAAGACAGTACACTATCTCAGCCAAGATAGTACACTATCTCAGCCAAGATAGTACACTATCACAGCCAAGATAGTACACTATCTCAGCCACGACAGTACACTATCACAGCCACGACAGTACACTATCACAGCCAAGACAGTACACTATCTCAGCCAAGATAGTACACTATCTCAGCCAAGATAGTACACTATCACAGCCAAGATAGTACACTATCACAGCCAAGATAGTACACTATCACAGCCAAGATAGTGCACTATCACAGCCAAGATAGTACACTATCTCAGCCAAGATAGTACACTATCTCAGCCAAGATAGTACACTATCACAGCCAAGATAGTGCACTATCACAGCCAAGATAGTACACTATCTCAGCCAAGACAGTACACTATCTCAGCCAAGATAGTACACTATCTCAGCCAAGATAGTACACTATCACAGCCAAGATAGTGCACTATCACAGCCAAGATAGTACACTATCTCAGCCAAGACAGTACACTATCTCAGCCAAGATAGTACACTATCTCAGCCAAGATAGTACACTATCACAGCCAAGATAGTGCACTATCACAGCCAAGATAGTACACTATCTCAGCCAAGACAGTACACTATCTCAGCCAAGATAGTACACTATCATATGCTCTTCACTATACTTCAACACTTACAAACATGATTCACCTTCATGACAGGTGAACATGACTCACTCATGTTCACCTTCATGACAGGTGAACATGACTCACTCATGTTCACCTGTCATGAAGGTGAACATGATACACTCATGTTCACCTTCATGACAGGTGAACATGACACACTCATGTTCACCTTCATGACAGGTGAACATGACACACTCATGTTCACCTTCATGACAGGTGAACATGACACACTCATGTTCACCTTCATGACAGGTGAACATGACACACTCATGTTCACCTTCATGACAGGTGAACATGACACACTCATGTTCACCTTCATGACAGGTGAACATGACACACTCATGTTCACCTTCCTTCACTTTCTCCACAAATATGACCCTCATATTTATTTCCTCATATTCATTTCTTTAGTGAATATGAACAGTCATTTTCATATTTTTATTATTATTATTATTATTATTATTATTATTATTATTATTATTATTATTATTATTATTATTATTATTACATTGAGGAGGAAAGCACTAAACTCGTAGGGCTCACACACCTCCAAGGCAGTGGAAAAGTGAAAGTAGCTCCAATACCCGGGATCAAGAGCCTCTGACCGTTATCAAGGTGCTCACAGCTGGACAATAAGCAATTAACCTGCCCAGGTTACTAACACCTGGGAATTGATTGCCTCCGTACGATGATTCGGAATGATTAGGGATGATTACGACTGACTGGGAATGATTAGTGATGATTGGGAATGATTAGAAATGACTGGGAATTGTTGGGAATGATTATGAATGATTAGCTATTTGGAATGACTGGGAATTATTAGGAATGACTAATAATGATTGGGAATTATTAAATGATTGGGAATTATTAGAAATGATGGGAAATTATTAGGAATGATTGGGAATGACTGTAATGGTGATAACCTTCTCACTCTGCCAGAGTGAGCAGTATTATACTGACGGGGAGCACTAGATGCGTAGGGGACTGGTCATAACAGTGCCTGGAGAAACGAAAGGTGACCAGAGTTGATCTGGCTGCTCCAGTGTCTTGAATCAAGATCCCCTGGCATCCTCTAGGCACTAACCTAACGTAAGGTAACCAGAGTACATATAACTTACTTGAAGAGAAGCTGGAGTACATATAATTTACTTGTAGAGTAGCTAGAGTACATATTTGGTTGGTGGGTAACCGAGGGCGGGTGCAGCCGGGAAGGCACATGAATGGTGGAATAATGAGGTAACGACGACAAGCACAAATAGACATTGTAGAATGAAAGGATTCTTTTGTTTATATTGTAACAAAAATGATGCGAGGAAGGCAAAGGTGGATGGAGAAAAAAATACAGAAATGGTAAGTCACGAAATCGTAATGACACGATTGCAAACAAACCATACCACGGGTGGGGTTAGAACCCCCGATCAGAGAGTCATAAAACTCCAGACCTAACGTGTCGGTCTGGAATTTTGTGACTCTCTGATCGAGGGTTCTAATCCCACCCGTGGTATGGTCAGAAATGGTGAGGGCTGGGGGGGACAGGGTGTCTCTCGCTTTGAAGGTTCTTAGTATCCACCCCATCAGTGATAATGTCACTGTTGAGAACCTTGAAAGTGAGATCCTCTCTGCATTTATAAGCACATTTCGCCAGGACTATAAATGTTTGAGAGAGAGAGAGAGAGAGAGAGAGAGAGAGAGAGAGAGAGAGAGAGAGAGAGAGAGAGAGAGAGAGAGAGAGAGAGAGAGAGAGAGAGAGAGAGAGAGAGAGATTGAACGCTGGAGGGTACCAGCAAAGACATTTTCATTACACATATTCATCAAAGGAAAAAATTGAAGGCTCGTTCAGAGTTGATTATAAAACTGAGGGAGATTTTTTGTGTGGCAGAAAACCTGGTAGATAGTGTACCTTAGTTTACCCTGACATCAAAAGTGGTCCATTAATGAGACACCTCCCTGGTGGTCTGTGGTAGCTTGTGCTAGTCTGTGGTGGTCTGGGATGGTCCCTGGTGGTCTGTGAAGGTCTCTGGTGATCTATGGTAGCTTGTGCTTGTCTGTGGTGGTCTGGGATGTTCCCTGGAGGTCTGTGACGGCCCCTGGTTGTCTGTAATGGTCCCTAGTGATCTGTGATGGTCCCTGATGGTTTGTGGTTATTTGAAGCAGTCTGTGATGGTCCCTGATGGTTTGTGGTTATCTGAAGCAGTCTGTGATGGTCCCTGATGGTTTGTGGTTATCTGAAGCAGTCTGTGACGGTCCCTGATGATTTGTGGTCATTTGAAGTAGTCCGTAGTGGTCTCTGGTGGTCAGTGATTGTCCTTGGTGGTCTGTAGTCGTTTGTGGTTTATGGTGATATGTGGTAGTCTGCGGTGGGCTATGTTAATCTGTGGTGGTTCACGGTGGTCCGTGCAGGCTGTCTGTTGCTAGCGGCCCGTATTCTCACAGAGCTATCGCAATTGCAGGAGCAAAGGAATTACCTGGAGTTTACCTGGAGAGAGTTCCGGGGGTCAACGCCCCCGCGGCCCGGTCTGTGACCAGGCCTCCTGGTGGATCAGAGTCTGATCAACCAGGCTGTTGCTGCTGGCTGCACGCAAACCAACGTACGAGCCACAGCCCGGCTGATCAGGAACTGACTTTAGGTGCTTGTCCAGTGCCAGCTTGAAGACTGCCAGGGGTCTGTTGGTAATCCCCCTTATGTGTGCTGGGAGGCAGTTGAACAGTCTCGGGCCCCTGACACTTATTGTATGGTCTCTTAACGTGCTAGTGACACCCCTGCTTTTCATTGGGGGGATGGTGCATCGTCTGCCAAGTCTTTTGCTTTCGTAGTGAGTGATTTTCGTGTGCAAGTTCGGTACTAGTCCCTCTAGGATTTTCCAGGTGTATATAATCATGTATCTCTCCCTCCTGCGTTCCAGGGAATAGGGCAATTTACCAACAGAATTAGGGTTAAACGGGGAAAAACGCATTGTAAACAGACCGTTGTTTGTCTGTATACCTAGCTACTTGATGTCAATAGGTACCTGATCAACCAGCCTCTAGGTACCTGAGGAAGGTACCTGATTAACCAGCCTCTGAGTACCTTGAACATTTCAGCCTTCGTGACGACAGTGTTACTGTGACCTGCTGCTGGTAAGGTGCGGAAAAGTCTTGGCCCACGCATGTTAAGGGGCCAGTGGGTCATCTCTAACTGCACCCATGGCTAGCGGAAGGGAAGAGGGAGTCGAACCGAGGGATAAGACTTTACAAGACCGTCTGCTCTAGCAGTCATGCTGTGGGTAATAAAGAATATTACTCTCAGATAGGTAAAACACAGTATGTGAAACGTGGTGGGCGAAACGTGATGGGCGAAACGTGATGGGCGAAACGTGATGGGCGAAACGTGGGCGAAACGTGGTGGCGAAATGTAGTGGGCGAAACGTGGTGGGCGAAATGTGATGGGCGAAGTGGTGGGCGAAACGTGATGGGCGAAATTTGGTGGGCGAAACGTGGCGTACATGGTTGGTGGTGCAATGATGTACGTGGTTGGTGATGCAATGATGTACGTGGTTGGTGACGCAGTAAAGTACATGGTTGGTGGTGAAACAATGTACATGGTTAATGGTGCAATAATGTACGTAATATTCATTTTAATTACCTTAATTTTAAGACTCTCTCTCAGCCTGGTAATATTCATTTTAATTACCTTAATTTTAAGACTCTCTCTCAGCCTGGTAATATTCATTTTAATTACCTTAATTTTAAGACTCTCTCTCAGCCTGGTAATATTCATTTTAATTACCTTAATTTTAAGACTCTCTCTCAGCCTGGTAATATTCATTTTAATTACCTTAATTTTAAGACTCTCTCTCAGCCTGGTAATATTCATTTTAATTACCTTAATTTTAAGACTCTCTCTCAGCCTGGTAATACAGAGTGAAGTGTTCAACACTTGACTTTGTCAGTAGCTGGAGTGTGTCCTCTTATGTTGAGTCCTGAGTGGTGGCTTTTGTTGTGTGTACTCTCCTAGGTGTGGTTGCAGGGGTCGAGTCACAGCTCCTGGCTCCGCCTCTTCACTGGTCGGGTCGCTACTAGGTCACTTTTCCTGTGTGTGTGTATACTCATTTGTGGTTGCAGGGGTCAATTCACAGCTCCTGGACCCTCGCCTCTTCACTGGTCGCTACTAGGTCTACTCTTTCTCCCTGCTTTAAGAACTTTATCGTACCTCTTCTACAAGCTATGTATGGATCCTGCCTCCACTACCTCACCTCCACTACCTCATTGTGTGTGACTGACTCCCTTACAGAAGCGTCTCTCACTCCATTCTCAGCTGCCACACTCAACATTCCTCACCGGCAGCAACAATTTACGACATAAATTGAAATCCTCAGTTTTTCTGACTATGTCGACGCCTGGAGTGCCAAGCACACAAGGACCACCAACACCACTTTTCACAGGGACTTTCCCTCCTAGGTGTCCTAGTGGGGTCACTGTCTCTCCCATGTGCTGGAGGCTTACCATCACACCGGATATATTTTTTTTCCCGTCTTATAAAATAACCCCTTTTTCCCGCTACTGATAAGGATATCTTAAAAGTTGTGTGTGTTGGTGTGTGTAAAGTGTGGGGGTGTGTGTTTTGTGTGTGTGTGTGTGGGGTGTTTGGGGTGTGTGTGTGTTTGTGTGTGTGTGTGTGTGTGTGTGTGTGTGTGTGTGTATGTGTGTGGTTTTGTGTGTGTTTTGTGTGTGTGTGTGTTTTGGGGTGTATGTGTGTTGTGTGTGTATGTGTGTGTGTGTGTGTGGTGTGTGTGTGTGGTGTGAAATTTTGTGTGTGTGTGTGTGTGTGGGTGGTGTGTTTTAAGGTTGTGTATGTATGTGTGTGTGTGTATGGGTGTGGTATGTGTGGGGTGGTTTTGTGTGTTTTTGTGTTTTGTGTTGTGTGTGTGTGGGGTGTGTGTGTGTGTGTGTGGTGTGTTTTGTGTGTGTAGTGGTGTGTGGTGTTTTGTGTGTGTGTGGTGTGTGTGTGTGTGTGTGTTTGTGTGGGTGTGTGTTGTTCATTCCCAGTTCACCATAACGCAGACACCCCAGAGTTTAGGGGAACAGGATATTTTTCGACAACCCGTTTGGGATATGTTTTACAAACCCCCGAAAGATGGGCCCCTCTGCTTTTTAAGTTGTAATGAATAAAAAATACCAAACCCCCAAAAACAACCACCACCACCCCCAAAAACAACCACCACCCCCCACAAAAACAAACACTAAACCCCCCCAAAAACAACCACCACCACCCCAAAAAAACAACCACCACCACCCACAAAAAAAACACTACCACCCAAAAAAAACAACCACCACCACCACAAAAA